ACTTTATGTTAGAATTATAACTTTATTTTTTAATGCTTGTTTTTATAAATATTTTATTTGATACTTTATAATGTTTGTAAATGTCCACATTTGAAATATTTTGAGTATTTAATTTTATGATTTCTAAACATTGTTATACCTCTGCACACTTTTCAATTAAAATATTAGTATTAATACTTGCATTATAGGAAGTAAATACCAAGATACTCGTGCAATTTGCTTTAGAATTATAATTATTACTTTGATTTTTCTGTCATGTTTAATGACATGTTCAAAGATCATTTAAATTCTTCATTTGGAAGTTTTTAAATCTTAGAAAATTTTGATTCCATGTGTATGAAATTACAGATAGATATGAGTTTTTGTTGGTAACAGACATGTTCAGCAACAAAACCATCTAACAATGGAAACATTTCTAAACATCCACCATCAGAATGTTCTTTGTGTAACATGTTTCTTTAAAAAGCAACTACTCTCTCAGACTATTAAAATACCATCTTTATCTTGAAGGGAGATAAGTATGTTTTGGGGGGGTTGTTTTTAACGTCTTTTGTGTACCTATGTAGCATACTATTGATAGCTATGTGTCATCATAGAAGAATTTATCAAATCTGGAGCAGTTGTATCTTGTAGAAGAAAAATAGGTAACTCATTTAAGTTTGTCACAATATAACCAATATATTTCTGTATGATACAAAGATTTTTGAGTCTATCTCAATCTCGCTACTAAATTTTGAAAGGATGTGTCCACTTAAAATCTATTTTTAAAGGCTTGTCTTTTATATATCCCAGGTACAAAAAAGTACATTGTATATGTACACTATAGAAATATTTATAGGCCAGGTATGGTGACTCACACCTGTAATTGCAACATGTTGGGAGGTCGAGACAAGAGGATTGCTTGAGCCAGAAGCTTGAGACCAGCCTGGGCAATATGGCAAGACCCTGTGTCTACAAAAAAAAATTTGTAATTAGCTAGGCATGGTGGTGTGTGCGCCTGTGGTCCCAACAACTTGGTAGGCTGAGGCTGAGGCAGGAAAATTCACTTGAGCCCAGGTAGTTGAGGCTGCAGTAAGCCATGTTCGTGTCACTGCACTCCAGCCTAGGCGATAGAGTAAAACCCTGTCTCAAAAAAGAAAGAAAGAAAAGAAAAAGAGAGAGAGAGAAGAGAGAGAGAGGAAGAGAGAAAGAAGGAAAGAAGGAAGGGAAGGAGAGAGGGAGGAAGGGAGGGAAGGAGCCAACACCCATCCAAGCAGCATAAGGTCAAGACAGCAGCATCTTAAAAGTTCCCCATGTGGGCCGGGCGCAGTGGCTCACGCCTATAATCCCAGCACTTTGGGAGGCCGAGGTGGGTGGATCACGAGGTCAAGAGATCGAGACCATCCTGGTCAACATAGTGAAACTCCGTCTCTACTAAAAATACAAAAATTAGCTGGGCATGGTGGTGAGTGCCTGTAATCCCAGCTACTCGGGAGGCTGAGGCAGAATTGCCTGAACCCAGGGGGCGGAGGTTGCAGTGAGCCGAGATCGCACCATTGCACTCCAGCCTGGGTAAAAAGAGTGAAACTCCGTCTCAAAAAAAAAAAAAAAAAAGTTCCCCATGTGTCCTTCACCAAACACATCACCTATCCTTCCTAGGGATGACCACTATCTTGACTTTTGTATAATAATTTCCCTATGCTTTATAATAGTTTTATTGTCTGTATATCCCTAAATACTGAATTCAGTTGTACCTGGTTTTGCACCTCATTTGAGGTACAGACCTTCTTAAGAGTGATGGCATTTCATTAAATTTCAGAGAAGCATAACTGGTCAGTAGGGTGGAGACAGACGTATGAGCCAAAAAATTTTTAAGGAATTGAAGGAGTGGAACCTAGAAAAAGTGTTAGATAGAAATAAGGTTTCTCTGTTTATAAGTGTATTAAATGAAAATATGAGGTTTGACTCACATTTTAAAATATTTTATAAATTTTGCTTAATATTAAAAGCATTTTTTCTGTGGCATGACCATAAATATTTATAAAGTAAGACAAATATAACTTCTTTATTTTCAGTGTGGCACAGCTGAACTACATTTCAAATGAGAAGTAACATTGATAGGGAGCAGTCATGTGAAACTGTTCAAAAAAGAAAACCCAAGTTTCAAAATTCTTATTCTGAATCTTGTTCTATGTATAGTATTGTTTAATTTTAAAGGTGTTTTCAGACCCAACTAAAGTTCAATTAAAAATATAATTTATATTTTTTCTCTCTCAAATGAAGCTTTAAGCATATGTTTCTAATAATTCAATGAAATATGCTGAGTTGTATATTTTTTGAAGAGAATCTGTTTTGAAAAGATTCCAGAATATTTATTTGAACAGGCACTCAGCATCTCGATGAAAACTGTTGGAAAAGAAAAACTTTCAGAGTCATTCTGCCCTCAGAGTAGTCAAGCCAACTAAACTGGTACAGTTAACACTTCTGTAAGAAACCAGGAGCCAAGAAATTTAGCACTTCCTGACTGCTTTTCAGCAAGCAGGACTCAAACCAACTTAGTGGTTGGAACTAATACCACTGAATTTCTAAAGTAAAAGGCTACATGCTGAACACCCACATCTCTTTCTTTCAGAATCATACTTACTAGTCTCTTTTGGTAATCTATGACTAGCTTCAGTCTTTGCCTTATGTTGGCATTCAAGTTGTGATTCTTTCTTGAATGTTGGAAGGCATAATTCTTGCAAAGCAAGAAGAAAATGTGCTATAGAGTGTGATCCCAGGTATAATTAAGCCATCTGCTAGGTATATTTTTATGTTGCTTTTTAGTACCACTGAGTGTCATAGTACAGATGTAAATTATAGGGGACATTATAATGCTTTGGGATCATTGGTAGTTATAGTAGACTACCAAATTTACAAGTAGGGATTGCTTTTTCAACTTCTGACCTGTTCATTTTTATTATATCCTCTTGAAATGTATTGATATCACTTAATTCACTTAACAATAATATACTTAGTGTCTTAGTTCATTTTATAGTGCTGTAACAGAATACCTGAGACCGGATAATTTTAAAAGAAGAGAGATTGATTACTTACAGTTCTGGAGACTGGGAAGTCGAACGGCCCACATCTAGGAAGGGATTTCTTGCTTATTACTGCATGGTGGAAGGGCGAAAGAGTACATGAGAGAGGGTGGGGGAAAGGAAGGGAACTGAACTCATTCTTTTTTTTTTTTTTTTTTTTTCCACATACTCTACTCTTCACACTGAACTCATTCTTTTACCAGGAACCCACTCCTATGATATTAACCCATTCCCAAGATAATGTCATTAATCTATTTGTGAACCTCAGAGCCGTAATCACCTAATCGCCTCTTGAAGGTCCCACTGTTGGTACTGTTGCATTGCAGATTTTCTTCCAACACATAAACTTTGGGGAACACATTCAAACCACAGCACTAGTATATGTGATATGTCATATGAATCCCTATATCCAAGTATTTGCTCTATAAGTGCTCTATTTACATATTCATCGTGTTGGCCTATGTAGTACCCAGCGTAGTTAGGTGTTGCAGCAGATAACAAATGATAAAAGATTCAAGGATTCTGTATGGTAGCTACAGAGATAAAATTGTTTAACATCTCTGCTACCGTTTATCGAATATCACAGAATTTGTAAGAAAAATAGCAGAAATGTTCAGTCACTTGGTTTTTCAAGTACTTCCCACAAGATTAGGTTAATGGCTGGGTGCGTTGGCTTATGCCTGTAATCCTAGCACTTTGGGAGGCCAAGGTAGGCAGGATCACCTGAGGTCAGGAGTTGGAGACCAGCCTGGCCAACATGGAAAATCTCGTCTCTACTAAAAATACAAGAATTAGCCAAGTGTGGTGGTGCTACTCGGGAGGCTGAGGCCAGAAAATCCCTTGAACCTGGGAGGTGGAGGTTGCGCCTGGGAGGTGAGCCGAGATCGTGCCACTGCACTCCAGCCTGAGCAACAGAGCAATGCTCCGTCTCAAAAAAAAAGGGGAGGATTAGATTAGATTAACAGTGTCTCCAGAAATGATTACCATACATTAATATATTTTAAGTTTCTTTCAGAACCATAAATATAGAGGAGATAGGTGAAACTGATGATAAATCTGGATTTTTTTTTTCTTCTTTGTTTGGATCTGTGCCTAAAATGGCAAATTATATACAGTTTGGGGCATAGTGTCACTTATAACTCCAAGGGGTTTAAGAATCAGCAGAGGAATACAGTCTTTTCATACAACTCTGCCTGGTCTTTGTATTTTTGATAATGTGTTACTGGAAACTTAAGAAGAAAATGAGGGAGTTTCAGAAAGAAACTGAAGAGGTTGATGACTGAAAAGGATGATTGAAGACCAAAATCTGCAGTTGATTAGGACACAGTCGTGGAAAGGAAGCAAATATATAAATAATAGGGTATGTTATCACAAAAAGTAGAATGACGCAAAGTATCTCTATTGTCCTGATGTTCCATTTGATACTGATTTGGATAAGTCTCATAAGGGATCTGATGGTTGAGGTCACTAATCCTTAATACATGAACCAAGGAATAAGAATTCTGTTTATCATAGGAAGTAACTTTGGCCCATAAGGAAGGAGTACAGACCCCTCAGGAGAGGGACATTTTAGTCCATAATTTCTCTGATTTAGTGCCAAAAGTTTTTTTGAGAGACTATTCAAAGCTGTCTTAAGTTTCCTTGTTGGAAACTGATAGCTGCTATATTTCTTTTTAATAACTGTTTTAAGTTCTTTCTGTTACGTCTTCTCTGTTGCTAAGTTGCTTAAAGTCAAAGTGTTAAGAGACAAAAGCTTTATTCTGTGAATAGGATAATACTTCTTTTGTGACGTTTTCTTTTTGCACCAAAAGTGAGAAATGAATGCCTTGCCTTAGTGCATCCCATAAGAATGGAGGACAAAAAGTTATTTTCTTCAAAGGCTGACTTCCAGAATTTTTGGCTGAACACTTTTTGTCAAGTGTGTATTCCCTTCTCTAGGCCTTTCTATATAGAGCCCACAAACATCGTCAATGTGAATCATGTCATTCAGAGGGTTAGCGACCATGCCTCTGCCATGAACAAGAGAATTCATTACTATAGCCGGCTCACCACTCCTGCAGACAAGGCACTGGTAAGAGACAAAGAATTACTTATCATTTAAAATTCAGTTGAAATGAACACTGAACAGTACAAGCCAGGGCATCTCCCAGTGATTGAACTTTTTTCTGACTGTATTTCAAGGAAAGTCTGACTGTATTTCATGCAAAGTCAAAGACATAATTAGTACACATCCTACATCTCAGGCTAGGTCATTCTTATTTTAATTTGAAACAATCTTTCTGTGTTGACAACAACCTGGAGATTGTTTTGGATTAAATTCTGCTGTTCTCCATTCCCCAAATCTCTGAGGAGGATAAATTACTTTTGAAGTGGCAGGTTAGGCCATTGACTAATAGCAAATAATAACAGGTTCTGCTTATTGTGGTCAATTTTTAACTTTGAACCTATAAGAGAAATGTTTTTTAGAAATTTTCTGCAAGAATGGGAAACTGGCTGAGCACAGCAACTCATACCTATAATCTCAGCATTTTGGGAGGCCAAGCAGAGAGGATCACTTAAGCCCAGGAGTTCAAGACCAGTCTGGGCAAGATGGTGAAACCCTGTCTCTATAAATAAACAATTTTTTTTAATTAGCTGAGCGTGATGGCTCAAACCTATAATTCCAGCTACTTGGGAGGCTGAGATAGGAGGATCCCTTGAACCCAGGATGGATCCCTTGAGAATGCAGTGAGCTGTGATTGTGCCACTGTATTCCAGCTTGAGCAAGAGAGTGTGACCCCATTTCTTAAAAAAAAAAGGTGGGGGGAAACTGAAATATGTACATAAATAAATATAATAGTTTCTTATTTAGCATTATTCTTTTAATCAGGTTGAAGCCAGATTTGGCCTATGGGCCAGAGTTTGTTGACCCTTGATCTTCTAAAAATTTCTATCACTATTTTAGGATAAAAAATATGTAAGTAATTTGATAGTTTGTAAAAACTACCACAGATGAGATATTCAGAAACTTGCAAGTTTAACTGAAAATCAGAACATTCTGGGAGAAAATAGGATTTTGAAATTAGTATTATTAATAAAAAGACAGAAGGGAACCAACATTCATTAACATTTAATAAGGAACAGTGATTGGGCATCAGTGGAATGTAGTGATCTCATTTAAGCCTTAAACAATAGTCACGTGAAATAAATATTAACATCTCCTCTTATATGACCAAAGTAGAGATTTCCAAAATGTTCTGGATGGGGTAAATTTTTTTCCCAATTTTTTTTGCTTTTTTCCCCCTAGGCCTTGACATCAGTAGTTGTGGTAAAGTCTTAGTTCCATAATGGAATTACTTAAGCCCTTGGAGGAGTAGAGGTAATCCAGTATCTCTGGATCTAGTTCAGACCTTCCAGATGCTCTGGGCTCCTGGAAGCAAATCTCCAAGTTCCCAGCTGAGCAAGTTTATACCTGAATGTATATCGTTTGCCTGGAAGTAGAGTCAGCATGTACCAAAGATGAATGCCTTTTGTTAACTGACACTGAGATAAGTCTAGCAAGTCAGAGTGTACAAACAGTAATGTAAAATTAACAGTGATATAACCATTCTTAATGGATGTGTGTATACATCCACACTCATTTTCTGAAAATCCGAAAATTATTTTGGATTTTTAAATTCTTGCTTTAGTTAGATTTTCCATGTTTGAAAAAGAATTTTTTAATTCATTGATCAGGAATGCATAGTACTTATTTATGATATTTAAAATGTATCTAGAGTCAGGTGGTCTGATGTGTAGAAAATATCCTATTTTGCATTTCCTGGTTCTGACATTTCTCTGTGTTTCTTTTTTTACCAGATTGCCCCAGACCATGTAGTTCCAGCTCCAGAAGAGTGCTATGTGTATAGTCCATTGGGCTCTGCTTATAAACTTCAAAGTTACACTGAAGGATACGGTAAAAACACCAGTTTAGTAACCATGTGAGTGAAATGGCTTTTTGGAACATGACTTAAACTGTATATGAATGAAAATTAGTGATTATTTTAATTTTTGTCTCAATTAAAATGTTTGAAAAGCCAAACTCCATTTTTTTACTGCTATTACTCTGTGTTTTCAGTTTTATGATTTGGAATACCATGATGGGAACATCTATACTAAGTATTCCTTGGGGCATAAAACAGGTAATATAATTTTTCAGCACACTTTTTGCCTAAATGTTTCTCTGTTTATATTGCAAGTTTTATAACAGAGGTTTTAATAAATCTACATGAAATTCATTTAAAAAAGATGGTTATATTTAGTTTTTCATGAGTTGTCAAGTTTTTATCATGATTAGGGTAAAATAATTGCATATGAATTTATGCTTACATGCTTTTATACTTTTATTTTTAAACAGGCTGGATTTACTACTGGAATGTGTGTCATCATCCTGATGGGCCTTTTAACACTTTATTGCTGCTACAGAGTAGTGAAATCACGGACTATGATATGTAAGAATTTGACACAGTGACAATAGATGATGGGTATTATTAAGCATTACCCTTTGAGGCAGATGACTAGTGTGTATATGCCACATATATGTCAACTGTCTACTTTGTACCTAACGATTTCTTTCTCTAATTCATTGTTGTCAGCTGAATTAATTTGTTAATATATTGGTGGCTGCCTTTGAAATTCAGAGAAGCTAGGGGTAATTTGCAGAGTTTATTCACTTTGGTGCTAGTTTCTTCATAAGAATCATTTAGAAACTCATATTTATAAAATAATGTCATTGCCAGAACTAAGCTGAGAATTCTATGCTTTCTAACATTTAATGGTGACTTGTTTTGACCTATTCATATCAAAAGACCTAAATCTTAGAATTTCTTAAAAGTAGAAATTATAACTAGAAAAATATGAAAATGTAAGCAACTCTATAGTAATGAATATTTGAAGTTGTGTGAACACCTTACCTCTACTCATCTCTACAAATTCTGGATTAGGGAAAAATCTTTTTTAGGTTGTTTTAAAGTAGTTTAGGACCTAAACAAACATGCATTATTTCATTAAATCTTAGCAAGTATGAATCAACAGACCAGGCTTTGCCTCCAGGTTTTTTCTGTGCCTACTAAGCAGCTCCCTTCTTTATGTTAACCAGATCTAGTGTTAGTCACTGGGCGAGTATTTATTTGAAAGTCTTGAGAAACCAGACCTGGTGGTGTGTGCCTACAGTCCCAGCAACTCAGGAGGCTTAGGTGGGAAGATAGCTCTAGTCCAGGAGTTTGAGGCTAGCCTTGGCAACATAGCAATATTCCATCTTTTAAAAAAATAATGGAATTAAAAAGTCTTGAGAGAAGATTCATTCTGGTTTCTACATGGTAAGAGGAGATTATCTTAGCCTCTAGTTTCTAAGGCAAATTGTGGCTGAACTTGGAAGACTTCTTTAAACATATACAGTAAGTTCATGTATTATCTAATTCAGCATCTCTTTTAAAATGGGAGCAGAGCCCCCACCGAGTTCTCTCAGTAACTGTTTTTTCTTTTCTTTTCTCTTTTTTTTCTTTTTCTTTTTTTTTGAGACAGGGTCTCACTCTGTTACCCAGGCTGGAATGCTATCATGGCTCAGTGCCGCCTCAACTTCCCAGGCTCAGGTGATTCTCCCACTGCAGGTGCACAGGTGCACGCCATCATGCCCAGTTAATTTTTTTTGTATTTTTCATAGAGATAGGGTTTCATCATGTTGCTCAGGTTGGTCTCGAACTCCGTGGCTCAAGTGATATGCTCACCTCAGCCTCCCAAAATGCTGGAATTATAGGCGAACTGTTAACTCCCATGTTATTCAACTGTCCCACACTATTTAAAAAGAAGTACTCGAGAAACTGAGGCATGAGAATTGTTTGAACACAGGAAGTGGAGGTTGCAGTGAGCCAAGATTGTGCCACTAGACTTCAGTCTGGGTGACGGAGTGAAACTCTGTCTCAAATAAAATAAAATAAAAAGAAGAAAAAGAAGAACTTCCACCAATTCATTTTGCAAAGTCCACACATGCCTAACACAAAGCCTGACATTACCAAAAAGAAAGAAAATATAGATGTAAAATTTATTTGTAAAACATTATCATACAGGATCCAACAGTGTATCAAAAGAATATCCTGTGTCTAAGATAAAGTTTATTCCAGTAATGCAAGGATGTTTCATTTTTAAGAAATTCAACGTAATTCACTACATTAACAAAGGAAAATTCATAATTACATCAATAGATATAAAAAGGGCACTTAATAAATTCAGCACCTGTTTCCGATTAAGACTCTTAAGTGAAAAGCACTACTTAAAAATAACAAAGTCTATTTATTCCCAAACAAGTACCAGCACCATTCTAAAATTATGAAATGCTAAAGCAGTTTTCATTAAAGTCAAGAAAACATAGAAATGTTCATAATTAGTTTTTTGGAGATATTATCAAACGCAGCAAAAAAAAACCCCTAAATAATATAAAAACTAGAAAAAACTTAGAATTATTATTATCAGCCAAAAGATAATTTTATTAGAAATGCTAAGAGTCACTCAGCTCACTGCAACCTCCTCCTGGGTTCAAATGATTCTCATGCCTCAGCTTCCCGAGTAGCTGGGATTGCAAGAGCACACCACTCACCTGGATAATTTTGGTATTTTTTTGTAGAGATGGTGTTTTGCCATGTTGGCGAAGCTTATCTTGAACTCCTGACCTCAAGTTGGTCTGCCTGCCTTATCCTCCCAAAGTGCTGGGATTACAGGCATGAGCCACCAACGCCCAGCCAAAACAGTTATTCTTGATAGTTATGTTGTTTTCACATTCTTTATCTAGACATGGATTATCATATTCTATTGTCCTCAATTTTTCAGACTTATCACTGCTTTCTGCCATGTACTAGCTGCCACATTTTGCTTCAAAGATAGCAGAACTTCAGTTTTTCTATATTCATCAAACATAACAATTACCTCAAAGTAGTTCAAAGCATGGGATTATAAAATTATCCTTTGATGACAATTGAAATACTCTTTCATAGGTTATACTTATCTATATTCTTCCTTGAACATTGAAATGTAAAATAAAAAGTTTATATTAATACAATAACTCTATCATAGAAAGGCAAATGTTTTCTAGTTTTTTGTTTTCTTATGTAAATTTCTACTCTAAATGAAAGGAATGTCTAAATACGTATTTTATAAAGTTATTCATATTGTATTTTAGTTGTCTTCTACTTTATCACCTATTTTTTAGTACATTTTATGTTTCTACAATCACTGTTTTTGTCTCTTAATGATTGTATGCAGTTGCATGTGGCAGCTATATTGTATTTGCTTAGTCATTGCCCTATGTTGTATATTAAAGTTGTTGCTTATTTTTGGTACTCTAAAGAATATTCTTCTAAAAATATTTTATATATGCTTTCTGTATTCTTTTAAATTACTTCCTTTTTAGTGCAGTGGTGGGATCATGGGTCACTGCCGCTGCAACCTCCTGGGCTCAGGGGACCCTCCCACCTCAGGCTCCCAAGTAGCTGGGACTGCAGGTACGCACCACGACGCCCAGCTAATTTTTGAATATTTTTGTAAAGATGGGATTTCGCTAATTTTTGAATATTTTTGTAAAGATGGGATTTCGCCATGTTGCCCAGGCTCGTCTCCAAATCCTAGGCTCAAGCAATCTGCCCACCTCAGCCCGGCAAAGTGCCGGGATTACAGACCTGAGCCACCATGCCTAGCCCTGTTTGTCTTTTCCATTGTAATTTGTTTCTTCACTTGCTAGAAGAGGATAACCTTTCATGTTCTATTTCTACATTCTGTTTTCTAACTTTTTTGTTTTTTAACTTTGTTCTGTTTTTGTTTTTGTTTTTGTTTTGAGAGAGAGTCTCACTCTGTCATCCAGGCTGGAGTGCAGTGGTGTCATCTCAGCTCACCGCAACTTCTGCCTCCCAGATTCAAAAGACTACAGGCATGTGCCACTGTGCCCAACTAATTTTTTTGTATTTTTTGGTAGAGACAAGGTTTCACCATGTTGGCCAGGCTGGTCTCAAACTCCTGACCTCAAGTGATCTGCCTGCCTTGGTATCCCAACGTGCTGAGATTACAGGCATGAGCCACCGTGCCTGGCCTATTCGACTTAGTTTTCTGAAATTTATATTGGCATGTGGTAGAAAGTGTGACTCCAGAAACTTTCCCCTATGTTGTTATCTGAATATGCCAAATATTAAGTAATGTTTTCTGCCCCTTACTGATGCATTTGTTTAACCTTAGTTTATCACTTGCTTTTATTACTTATAAAATGTTACAATGCTATAATCTGTTTCTCAGGTTACCTGTACTATTTTTTTAATCTACATTTCTTTTTTTATGGTTCTATAATGTTTTAATTTTATTATCTCATAATATATTCTAATGTCTAGTAGTAGAATACCCATAATCTTTCACTAAATATTTTGAGTTTATTTGGGGAATATAAATTATGAATATGGAATATATGATCAACATTTAGTTTTATTCTTTCTCTTATTTTATCTAGCTTCATTGGATACCACTACCTGGGAATATCCAGATGTCTGCAGACATTATTTTGGCTCCTTTGGGCAGTGGTCGAGTCTCCTTTTCTCCTTGGTGTCTCTCATTGGAGCAATGATAGTTTATTGGGTGCTTATGTCAAATTTTCTTTTTAATACTGGAAAGTTTATTTTTAGTAAGTATCTATATCATATGCTTTTAATACAGTACTTTCAAATGCAATTCCCACTGTAATGTTAGTTCTAGCCTTAAATTCTAGGACTTGAGTAAATAAAATAAGAAGTAATATATGTAATTCTGGAAAATATGTTTTATTCAGTTTGCTTTCTATGGTTGTGATCTCAAATATAATGTTTGTTCATTTCCAAACATTAATTTTCGAATGAATATAACTCCAAAATCTTTAGTTAATATAAAATATATCTATAATTCAATAGATGTTTTAAGTATTTTTTCACTGAAGAACTTGATATGTAGGCTCTAGCGGAAACAAATTTTAGCCACTTATTTTCAACACATTAGGATATAAGATTAGAAAGTCAAAGAATAATGGAATTTATATGATAAATATATTATTGATATTTACATATCATAAATTCTGAAGAGAGTCTTAGAAATCAGTCAAAATACTTGTTTAGATTGGATAGAGGAAGTTCATTTTTTTAATTAATGAATTTGTTTTGTTTTTTTTTTTTTGAGACAGGGCCTTGCTATTTTGCCCTGGCTGGTCTCAAACTCCTGGGCTGAAGTGATCCTCCCACCGCAGCCTCCTGGTTACAGGCTCCTGCCACTGTACTGAGCTGGAAGTTTATTGTATAAGATACCAAACCTTTTTCCCTATAAAGGTTTTACTGAAGTTTTTACCAAACCTAAAGTTTGGTGTATGTTTAGCAGCTTTAAATAAAACATATATTTAAAATCTGGATTTATATGAAAACAAAATTTCAAAATAATTTCTAACATAATCGCCATGTTGGCCAGACTGGTCTCAAGCTCCTGACTTGAAGTGATCCTCCCGCCTTGGCTTCCCAAAGTGCTGGAATTACAGGCGTGAGCCACCATACCCAGTCCCTAGCATCTTTATTGTTTAAAAAGTTACAAAATATTTCAAACTACAAAAAAAATGCAGAAGCTAATATAAATACCAGTATATTCACTAATAAGTTTTCATGTCTTAACATTTTATCATATTTTTATTAGATCTCTTTTTTTTTTTTTTTTTCAGTAGAGACAGGGTATCAATATGTTGCCCAGGCTAGTTTCTGCCTCCTGGCCTCAAGTGATCCTCCCACCTCAGCCTCCTAAGTAGTTTGAATTATAGGCACAGGCTGGGTGCGGTGGCTCATGCCTGTAATTCCAGCGCTTTGGGAGGTCAAGGCGAGTGGATCAGTTGAGCTCAGGAGCTCGAGACCAGCTTAGCCAACATGGTAAAACCCCGTCTCTACTAAAGGCATTCACCTATAATCCTAGCTACTCAGGTGGCTGAGGTACGAGAATCACTTGAACCTGGGAGGCAGAGGTTGCAGTGACAGAGATCACACCACTGCACTCCAGCCTGGACAAAGATTGAGACACCATCTCAAAAAAAAAAAAATTATAGGCACAAGCCACTATACTAGTTAGTTCTATATTCATATAAAAAGAAAATTTGGATAGAGTGGAAGGCCCATGCATAATCCTTCTCAATCTCATTTTCCTTCTTTTCTGAATTTGGTGTTTATCAATCCCATACACTTTTTGGACTTTTACTGCATGAATATATGAGCTATTGATTTGCATGTTTTTTTGTTTTTGTTTTTGTTTTTTTGAGACGGAGTCTTGCTCTGTCGTCAGGCTTGAGTGCAGTGATGCGATCTCGGCTCAATCTCCACCTCCCTGGTTCAAGCGATTCTCCTGCCTCAGCCTCCTAAGTAGCTGGGATCACAGGTTTGTGCCACCACACCCAGCTAATTCTTGTATTTTCAATAGAGACGGGGTTTCACCATGTTGGCCAGGATGGTCTCGATCTCCTGACCTCGTGATCCACCCGCCTCAGCCTCCCAAAGTGTTGGGATTACAGGTGTGAGCCACCGCACCCGGCCTCATGTTTTTAATCTACACAAATGCTTTTGCAACTTTCTTTCTGTCTTTCATCATCTCTATTAATATACAAAGTTCATTATAATTGCCTATAGTATTTGGTAATATGAATATACAACTTTTTTTAATCTGTTCTCGTTGATAAACATTTAATTTATTTTCACTTATTGTACTATTACAAGCAAGTCTATTAAACATCCTTATTTCTGTCTCTGACCTTATAGACACCCTTCTGGAATTTAAGATATTCACATTTTCAACCTTAATTGAAATTTCAGAATTGTTCTTTATCATGCTTGTACCAAGTTTATGAAAGGTCCCCTTGTTCCACATCCTCACTCACACTCAGTATTATCAGACTTAAATTTTGCCATCAGGATGTGGTTTTAGTTTGCATTTCTCCTCATAAGGAGTAGCATTAATCATTTTTCTTAATTGTATTGACCATTAAATAGCTTATTCATATATTTTGCCCATTTTTCTTTTTCTTCTTTTTTTTTTTTTTTGAGATGGAGTCTTGCTCTGTTGCTAGGCTGAGCAAGACTTCATCTCAATCTCTGCTCACTGCATCTTCTAGCTCCCTGGTTCAAGTGATAGTCCTGCCTCAGCCTACTGAACAGCTGGGATTACAGGCACACACTACCATGACCAGCTAATTTGTGTGTTTTTAGTAGAGACAGGGTGTCACCATGTTGGCCAGGATGGCCTCAATCTCCTGACCTCGTGATCCACCTGCCTCAGCCTCCCCAAGTGCTGGAATTACAGGCATAAGCCACCATGCCTGGCCTCTTTTGCCAATTTTTCTATCAGATTCTTGGTCCTTTTCTTACCTGTAGGAACTTTGTAAAGTGCAGTAACCTTTTATCCACTATTGTGTTGGCAAATATCTTCTAATTAGTGGCTTGTCTTCTCTTTTTATATGGTAGCTCTATGTTATTCAAAAGTTTTTTATTTTATTGTAAAATTACTGTTTTTCTCCATTATGGTTTATAACTGTTCCATATACATTTTAGAATCAACTTATCAAGTTCCACAAAATTCCAATCAGAATTTGATTGGAATTGCATTGATTTCATCAGTTGGGATACACACAGTACAGTAATTGATATGGTCAAGTATTGAGTTAGAATTCAGTTGACATTGCATTGGATTTATTGATGTGGAGAGAACTGATATCATTTAGATACTGAGCCTTCCTATTCATGACTTTGGCATGGCATAATCTCTGGTTTACTTAGGTCTTTAAAAAATATTCTTAAAGATTTTCTTGATCAGCATCTTTTATTTTTTTGGACTTTTTCCTCTGGATCTTAGCATTTTTTATATAACCATAGTTTTAATATACAAATCTGCAGTTTTTATTATAAAAAATTTTAAGTACAAAGTAAACAGAATAGTATAATTTCCCCTTACTTAGTTTTAACAGTTATCAACATTCTGTCTTTTTAAAATCATCTATAGTAGTGCTTTTCAACCATTTTTTCATTATTATCCCTTCAAGGAGACTTTTTAGATTTTTTTTCTGATCACCCCTCTTATGAAATTTTAATACCAAAGATATATTGTAAATCTCCTTATGAACTATATGTATACATATGCTTTAGCTGTAAAAAAGAGTTTCTTTTACCTTCTAAGAATGAATTTTGTCCCTCTTGAGAGTAGCATCACATCCATTGAGAAGACATAATCCATGCTACACCCACTCCCCACCCCAGTTCAATATTAGTATATGTATCGTTCTCTTTTTTAGATAGAATTTATTCATTGAACTATACGTCTTAATCACACTATTTTGAAATATACATACATCTATATAACCCACACCTCCTTCAAGAAATAGAACATTTCATCTTCCCAGAAAGTAATGATATATTTTTGATTATACATTCACATTATTTGTTGCTATTATAAAAATAACCTAATTACATTTTGAATGTTTTTTTGAGACAGGGTCTCACTCTTTCACCCAGGCTCTGGGGTGCAGTGGTATGATCACGGCTCACTGCAGCCTCAACCTCTCCAGGCTCAGGTGATCCTCTCACCTCAGCCTCCCGAGTAGCTGGGACTACAGGCAACTACCGCCATATCTGGCTAATTTTTGTATTTTTTTTAGAGATGGGTTTCATCATGTTGCCCAGGCTGGTCTTAAACTCCTGAGCTGAGGCAATCCACTCACCTCAGCCTCCCAAAGTGCTGGGATTACAGGCATGAGCCCCCTGTTCTGCCTCTTGAATGTTTATCTTGAATCTAGCAAACTTGCTGAACTCACTGATTTTAAAAATTTTGTAGATGCACTTTGTGTTTTCTATTTAAATAATCATATCATTTGTGAATTTAAAAAGCTTCCTGTCCAGGTGTGGTGGCTCACACCTGTGATCCCAGCACTTTGGGAGACCAAGGCAGGCGGATCACCTGAGGTCAGGAGTTTGAGACCAGCTTGGCCAACATGGTGAAACCCTGTGTCTACTAAAAGTACAAAAATTAGCTGGGTGTGGTGGTGGGTACCTGTAATCCCTGCTACTCAGGAGGCTGAGGCAGGAGAATTGCTTGAACCTAAGAGACAGAGGTTGCAAGTGAGCCAAGATCACTCACTGCACTCCAGCCTGGGCGACAAGAGTGAGACTCCATGTCAGGAAAAAAAAGCTTTCTGGTTTTTTTTAATAGTTCATATAAGTATACATACATTTATATTTATATACGTGTATACTTATACAGACACACAGACACATATGTATAAATGTGTATCTATATGTATATATGGATGGTTTTTTAAGTGTGAAGTTCCATTGAAGCAGTGCTTGTAGATATTCTTATACTGTTAGTAAGGAAATCTTTCTAATGTTTCACAAATATTATGTTTGTTGTGGGATATTAGTTGTAAGCTTTAATAGTTTAAAGACATTCCCAACTATGTCTTTAATGTTTTCTTAAGCATTTTCATTAAAGTGGTTGAATCTCTTGAGATAATCAAAAGATATTAAGAGACAAGAGATCTTGATTAAATTTTCTCCTCTATCAATATGATGAATTAAATGAATATGTTTTGTAAAATTTAAACCATCCTTGTATTGTGGGATAAACTTAAATAAGTTCATTAGTCATGACATGCATTTTTCAAATACCTTACTGGATTGAGTTTGCTTTTTTGGAGGGGTAGGAGCTAATATCTGTTTAGATTTTTTTTTGTCTTTTCCTAACAAATACTGGCCTATGGTTTTCCTTTTTCATGCTGTCCTTGAGCCTTGGTGTATTAGTTTCCTAAGGGTGCAGTAACAAATTACCATAAATGTGTTTACAATAACACAGATTTCTTTTTTCATAACTATGGAGACTAGAGGTGTGATATCAAAGGGTCAGTGGAGCCCTGCTCCCTTCTAAGGATCTAGGGAAGAATCCTTCTTTGTCTCTTCCTAACCTTTGCTGGTTGATGGTGGTCCTTGACCTTCCTTGGCAAGTAGGTACGTCACTCCAGTTTCTCCCTCCATCTTCACATGGCCCTCTTACCTCTGTATGTCTGTGTCCAAATTTCCCTCTTCCTATAAAGACATCAATCATTGGGCTGGGCATGGTGGTTCACGCCTGTAATCTCAGCACTCTGGGAGGCTGAGACGGGTGGATCACCTGAGGTCAGGAGTTCGAGACCAGCCTGGCCAACATGGTGAAACTCCATCTCTACTAAACATAGAAAAATTAGCCAGGCGTGCTGGCGGTCGCCTGTAATCCCAGTTACTTGGGAGGCTGAGGCAGGAGAATTGCTTGAACCCGGGAGGTAGAGGTTGCAGTGAGCTGAAATCATGCCACTGTACTCCAGCCTGAGCAAGAGCAAGACTGTCTCAAAAAAAATAATAACTAAAATAAAAATATAATAAAATGAAAGACATTAGTCATTGGCTTTAGGGCCCACCCTAATCCATTATGACCTCCTCTTAACTTGGTTATGTCTACAAAGACTCTATTTTTAAATAAGGTCACATTCTGAGGTTTCTAGTGGAAATAAATTTGGAGCTATTTTACCCAGTATGCTTTGTGTCAAGATTTTACTAGGCTTATTGTAAGTCTTTGCCATCAAGAAATTATATGAAGATTCACAAATTTCAATCTTAAATCATTGGAGATATTGTAAAATCCCAGAGTACTACACTGTTTCTTTTATCTTGGGAAACATTCAGAGAAGATGAGTAAATATTTAACTTACTTTCATGACTTAAAACCTAACCCAGCACCTTTTACCATCTTATTCAAGTTTCACAACAAATAATTTTATTAATGGTTACTAAGGTTATAGAAGGTTAATATCAAACAGAATAAAGTAAACCCCCTCAGGCTAGCAGGTAAGCATATTCTCTGCCTAATCTCTCCTTCACTGTAGAATGATATGAATGCTCAGCCATCTGCATGTGCTTTATTCTTTGTTACTTCCTTTAGTTTAACTCAGTGGTTAGTGGTTCTTATGTGTATAACAATTCGTATATAGCCTTGGATCTATAAAAGTATGTATTATACTTTGTAAAAAAACTTTAAGTGATTTTCTAGGTAAGATTAGCTGTGTATGAGTGTTGGTTTCCCCTTTTTGCACACATTAGAACTGTATTCTATGTGAGATGTAACTTTAGTGTGAGTATAAGAAAAAAAAGTACATATCTTTATTCTGGAGCTTTAAACTATATTAATTCAGTGTTGTGGATAGATTTTTTTTTTAAATTTTCCACAATGGCACTGTGAAGCCATTAAATTATCATTTCTATATGTGAAGAAAACTGTAAAAGGTGAAGCTATATTAACAGTGAAGTAGTCTTCGTTCTGTGGACTAGATTACTACACAGATATTAAAAGATTCTTATAACTAAAAAGCCTTAAAGGATAATAGATTTAGTACTTTCCTTCAGCGTTAAACTATATTTTTTCCTTCATTTTTAGATTTTATTAATCACATTAATGACACAGACACTGTACTGAGTACCAATAATAGCAACGCTGGTAAGTAGTTTGGGATGTTGTTTGTTTCTTTACTCTCCACCTTGCTCCCAAAGGATTTAAGGTAGAACATGTGGCCTTATTTTAGGTAAATGATTAGCAGAAAATTATTATGTTTACTGAGCTGCTACTAAATTGTTGGTAATTAGTGAGTTTTTAAAAAAACCCTCCAAAAGGCTGTGTTAATGTAAGCCAGGCGAGAGGTTGTATTAATGTGAGCTAGGCAACATTTAGTTCATATTATACAACTCACAATTTTATCTACAGTATCCATATTTGCCTGTGAATAATCAATATTTTCAAGAACCTGTATCACTATTAATTATATCAGAGGTCTAGAAGCATAGTTCTCAGTTTGTTAACTTAGTTTTGGAGATGTATTGTTTTAGTTACTAACATATACGCTATACAATTTGGTAACCTGTAAAATGATTAATTTTCTAGTAATAAACAGAGGTTAGTAACTAAATATATATTTCATTAGTAACGAAAAATAAATGGAAGCTTTGGCTCCAAAAGAAATTAATTTCTTAGACGTTTTTATTTATTTAAAAAAAACAAACAAACAAAAAAAAAAAACAAAAAAAAAAACCCTACGGCCAATGGGTTTAATCCAGTATGGCAGTTACAGAGAAAGTGAATATAAATACTGATAATATAACCTTGGTAGCAGTCATGCTGTTAAACTTGAACATTACCTATAGCTGTATGTATTTAGATTTCAGGGATACTAAATTGATGTCATGTTGATGGAGGTGCACATTGATCACTAAGAGGATAATTCATTTGGCCAGGCGAAGTGGCTCTCGCCTGTAATCCCAGCACTTCGGGAGGCCAAGACGGGCAGATCACCCAAGGTCGGGAGTTGGAGACCAGCCTGACCAACATGGAGAAACCCCATCTCTACTAAAAATACAAAATTAGCCGGGCATGGTGGCGCATGCTTATAATCACAGCTACTCGGGACGTTGAGGCAGGAGAATCGCTTGAACCTGGGAGAAGGAGGTTGCAATGAGCCAAGATTGCACCATTGCACTCCAGCCTGGGCAACAAGAGTGAAACTCCGCCTCAAAAAAAAAAAGGGATAATTCATTAAATACATTTATTAAGCCTGCTATGTGTCAGGAACTGTTCTAGGCTCTGGGGACATAATAATGAACAGATGAAAGTTTGTCCTCTCATGAAGTATACATCCTAGTGTTTGCTACTCAGTGTCTTACTTTGCCCCTAATTAAACCTATCTTTTGTTAATGCTAGAAAATGAGTGAGTGAAGTACTAGCTTTTATTCCTGTGAACACACCCATATACCTTTGAATTATAATACTAAAATATCTTGTGCCCTATCCCTCAGAATTTTCAAAGAACCAAATAACATCCTTGTATTTAAAGAGAAAATTATTTTGCTATACCTATTCTGATACTAATTGATGAAACTGGTTTACTAATATCTAAATTTAATAGTATTTCTCCTCCAGTAGGGAGTCAGTTCATCACTAAGGTAATAAATATTAATATCACAGTCATGTTGACGATTTAGAGAACACTATCAGCAAAGTCAGATTACTTTGTATAGTGATATCTTATATCCCCCACTTCTTTATTTCTCTGCTAATGTTTATTTTGAACAGTGCAGTAAATAGTGAGAGTATGAAACAATCCATTTCAGTTAATGTAAAAAATTTTAGCTGCTGGGCATGGTGCCTCACACTTTTAATTCTAATACTTTGGGAGGCCAAGGCAGGAGGATTGCTTGAGCCTAGGACTGGCATCTGCAAACTACGGCCCGTGGGCCAAATGCGGCCCCCTGAGGCCATTTATCCGGCCCCCCGCCGCACTTTAGGAAGGGGCACCTCTTTCATTGGTGGTCAGTGAGAGGAGCACAGTATGTGGCGGCCTTCCAACGGTCTGAGGGACAGTGAACTGGCCCCTTGTGTAAAAAGTTTGGGGATACCTGGCCTAGGAGTTTGAGATCAGCCTGGGCAACATAGCAAGACCCCATCTATAAAAAAAAGTTTTAATTAACTGGACATAGTGGCATGTGTCTGTAGTCTGTGCTACTCAGAACACTGAGGCAGGAGGATCGCTTGAGCCTGAGTGGTTAAGGCTACAGTATGCCATAGTTATGCCACTGCCCTCCAGCCTGGGTGACAGAGACCCGGTCTCAAAAAAAAAAAAAATTACAGCTAACATTCATTGAATACCTGTTTGTAGGCATTCTATTAAATGTTTTACAGCTACCCTAAATGGTAGATACTGTCAACTCCATTTTCCAGATGAAGAAACCAGGGCACATAGTAGTTAATTTCATCGAAGGACACCTTACTATTAAGTGGCAGAGTTGAGATTCATTTTTCAATTACCTTCCACAGCCTGTGCTCTTTTTTTTTTTTCTTCCTTCTTTCTTATTTTTTGGAGACAAGCTCTCTTTCTGTTGTCTAAACTGGCCTACAGTGGCATAATCACAGCTCACTGCAACCTGGTACTTCTGGGTTTCAGCAATCCTCCCACCTCCACCTCCCAAGTAACTAGGACTATAGTTATACACCCCATCCAGCAAAATTTTGCTATTCTTGTAGAGACAGGGTTGCCATGTTTTCTAGGCTAGTCTCAAACTCCTGGCCTCAGTGATCCTCCTGCCTCAGCCTCCCAAAGTGCTGGGATTAAAGGCATGAGCCACTGTGCCCAGCTGCCATAGCCTGGCTATCGTAACCTGTGCTTTTAACCACTATAATTAGCACAGGAAAATTTCTGTCCAGAGCATAGAAGAAAAAAGCACACTAAAACGTTGACTAAGGAGAAAGAAAATTCTTACAAAGAGCTGATTATTAGCAAAAGCTCTATTGTGACATTAGAAACAATGAGAATGGCTGGTATTCTGCCTGTTAACCAAAGAAGTTGCCACTGATAGATCAGTATTTAAGAAACACATTTAGGCTGGGTGCAGCAGCTCATGCCTGTAATCACAGCACTTTGGGAGGCCAGGGCAGGTGGATCATGAGGTCAGGAGTTCAAGACCAGCCTGGCCAACATGGTGAAACCCCACCTCTACCAAAAATCCAAAAATTAGCCAGGCATGGTGGGATGCGCCTGTAATTCCAGCTACTCGGGAGGCTAAGGTAGCAGAATCGCTTCACCCAGGAGGTGGAGGTTGGAGTGAGCTGAGATCATGCCATCGCACTCCAGCCTGGGCAACAGAGTGAGATCCGTCTTAAAACAAAAAAAAAAGAAAAGAAAAGAAACATACATTTTACTGACTTCGCAGTTGTCTGGATACCATCTGGACTCTTAGGCTTTTATCAAATGTGATTAACTTCCAGAATTATTTTGGATTGTTGGGATTCAAGATTCTTGCATTTTTATCAGTGATTATAATACTGTGGCAGCCGTTTCAATGATGTTTGCTTTTTAGTCCAAACCCATAGATTTTGTTTGTTGTTAAAAAGAAACCTGTTCTTTGGCCTTTGTATGGTTGTTTTGTTTTGTTTTGTTTTGTTTTGTTTTTTTTGAGACGGAGTTTCGCTGTTGTTACCCAGGCTGGAGTGCAATGGCGCGATCTTGGCTCACCGCAACCTCTGCCTCCTGGGTTCAGGCAATTCTCCTGCCTCAGCCTCCTGAGTAGCTGGGACTACAGGCACGCGCCACCATGCCCAGGTAATTTTTGTATTTTTAGTAGAGATGGGGTTTCACCACGTTGACCATGATGGTCTCAATCTGTTGACCTCGTGATCCACCCACCTCGGCCTCCCAAAGTGCTGGGATTACAGGCGTGAGCCACCGCGCCTGGCCTGTATGGGTTATTAATGTAATAAACAGTCACCCTAAATGATATTTTTTATACTATTGTATAAATAAGACCTAACACCATCCAGCCCAATATTTTCTCTCTAGCAATGGAACCAAGGGATATTTGGTGGGATATTTTTGTAGTTTCTGGTAGAGTTTAAAGATAATATCTTAGGACTGGGCACGGTAACTCATGCATAATCCCAGCACTTTGGGAGTCCAAGGTGGGTGGATCACCTGAGGTCAGGAGTTCAAAACCAGCGTGACCAACATGGCTAAATCCTGTCTCTACTAAACATACAAAAAATAGCTGGGCATGGTGATGTGCGCCTGTATTTCCAGCTACTAAGGAAGCTGAGACAAGAGACTTGCTTGAACACAGGAGGTGGAGGTTGCAGTGAGCCAAAATCATGCCACTGCACTACAGCCTGGGTGACTCTGTCTCAAAAAATAAATAAATAAAAATAAAGATAGTATCAGAAATTTTAAAGATTCGCTCACCCTTATTTATTTTTAGGTGAAGGTTTCCTAATATTCCTAAAATTAACCCTCTATTTTTTCCAGAAAGGAGATATTTAGGCTTCTAGGAAAAGTTGAAGTTTGGTAGAACAAGTGTCTATCTCTAGGGGCAGTCATTTTGTGTTGTTGTTGTTGTTTTGTGGTCTTCTCTAATCTGGTGCTTTCCTATTGCAGTGATTTGTCCAAGTGCCGGGAGTGGAGGCCATCCTGACAACAGCTCTATGATTTTCTATGCCAATGACACAGGAGCCCAACAATTTGAAAAGTGGTGGGATAAGTCCAGGACAGTGCCCTTGTATCTTGTGGGGCTTCTCCTTCCACTGCTCAATTTCAAATCTCCTTCATTTTTTTCAAAATTTAATATCTTAGGTAAGTAGTAGCACTGATTATGGAGACTTTGTGTAATAGAATATGTGGTGGAGTCTAGGGAAATACGGTCTGAGTGGGGAGTTTCCTTCCAGGCCTATTCATTTGTGTTTAATTTGTTTGTCCTTCCATTCTTCCTTCCTTCCTTTCCTTTCCTTTTTCTTTTCCTTTTTCCTTTGCTTTTTCCTTTGCTTTCCGAGTTTTGCTCTTTTTGCCAGGCTGGAGTGCAATGACATGATCTCACCTCACCTCAGCCTCCCAGGTAGCTGGAATTACAGGTGTGCACCACCATGACCAGCTAATTTTGTAGTTTTTAGTAGAGGTGAGTTTTCACCATATTGTCCAGGCTGGTCTCAAACTCCTGACCTCAGGGATCCACCTGCCTCAGCCTCCCAAAATGCTGGGATTACAGGCGTGAGCCACCATGCCCAGCAATTTATTCCTTCTTATGATAACATGATTTTTGTATTTTTTTGTGGAATTTGGCATGGAGAAAAGTGTAGTGTAGATGACCATTTTGGGTTTGATTTTTTTTTTTTTTAATAACATGAATTACTTGGTTTCTCATTCTAAACTTACCGAACAATTCTTTCTCATTTCCTCTGAGGATACAACTAGATTAAATAGACGAAAGTTTCAGAAGGAGAGATCCAAATTGGATATTGTAGGAATTCTCAATTCTAAGGGTTGGAAACAGAACTTATAAGGAAGGTTATGGAATGTTTTTTCCTACAGTCTCTAAGAGTATTATGCAGAATTATCACCTGACTTTGAACCTGGGAGATGACTCTCTATCTCAGGCTTCTTAGGTTCATTCTGCTTTTGCTCTCTTCCTCAGTGCTTTTTTTTCTTAGAAGACTATTGCCTTGTTCAAGGAACAGACCTCTGTCTGTGAGCCCTGCTTTTCAGAAACCACTAAATGAATGTTTTTACCCCACTTAAGATGGCAAAAGGAAGCCCCAGTGAAAGTTCAGATCTTGGCAAAAGCAAGGATATCCTTCATAAAGAATTGATAACTCCACTTAAACCATACGATTTTACCTTCTCCCTGTGGATGTGATGATCTCTGGCAGGCAGCCTAGCAGGCGTCCCCAAACTACGGCCCGCGGGCTGCATGCGGCCCCCTGAGGCCATTTATCCAGCCCCCCCACCGCAGTTCAGGAAGGGGCACCTCTTTCATTGGTGGTCAGTGAGAGGAGCACACACAGTATGTGGCGGCCCTCCAACGGTCTGAGGGACAGTGAACTGGCCCCCTGTGTAAAAAGTTTGGGGACGCCTGGCCTAGAGTATAAAATAAATAGATTACTCATCCTATCAAGGAGCAAGGAAGTGGCTTCTAGGTTTCCAGAAGACCAAAGGAAAAGGTAAAGATATTTCTCTTTGCCTGTCTGCCTCACAACAGGATTCACTGTAAGCTGCCGTAGACACAGAAGATAAAGAGTTGTGGTTATATAAGCTCTGGCCTCTTGTTTTCATCCTTTCTGTATCAGCTAATCTCCAGACCCACAGTAGAGCTTATATCACTCATTCGTGGTTTCCTGATTTGCTTGCCAACTTTTTCTATGAAACAGATCTTTCAAAAGAATATAAACTTACAGAAGGATTTGCTCAATTGGGCACAACAATCATCAGACTTCCAACCAGGTTGATTGCTCATTCTCCAGCTCCTTAAGGATGTTCTGCTTTAGTTCTTTTCCTTGGTACTTTCCCTCTCTCTTAAAACCATAGCTTCATTAGAGGAATTAGCATTTAAGGCCTTCCTAAGTTTCCTGACTCTACTCCGGAATGACTAGACTTAATTTCTTAAAAGGAATAATCTTCTACCTTCTACAATACTAAAAATTCTGAATGCCCACTTTACCATGTATATAATACCTGAGAATGGAGTCTGGAATCTCCATCTAGCAAGTAGTGCTACTACTTGCTAAATCAAAACCTCATCTAGATAGTAGATCAGGATAGTTCATGTATTATTTGGCTTCTCCTCTTTCTCAAATAAGCTTTTGATTCACATTCACTGCTTTTCTTACTTTACATTCTTACCATCTCACATTAAATATTGTGACAGACTGTCTCTAACACTTCCAGTTCAATGAATAAAAGTTAGTTTCATGTTGTTTTTTCTATCCTACGTAACCCTGCAATTTTATAATGGACTTTCTCCTTGTATCTTCTGCTTAAACTCAACTCATAAGTAAATCAAGCAGTTTTGCATTCAGCAATGTATGAGCTACCTTCATCTGTTCTTCTTTTCTTCTTTTTTTTTTTCCTTTGAGATGGAGTCTCGTTCTGTTGCCTAGGCTAGGGTGCAGTGGTGTAATCTTGGCTCACTGCAACCTCTGCCTCCTGAGTTCAAGTGATTCTCCTGTCTCAGCCTCCAGAGTAGGTGGGATTACAGGCACATTCCACCGTGCCTGGCCAATTTTTGTATTTTTAGTAGAGATGAGCTTTCTCCATGTTGGCCAGGCTGGTCTCAAACTCCTGACCTCAAGTTTTTTTTTTTTTTTTTTTTTTTTTTTTTTTTTTTTTTTCAGGTGTGCTTTTTTATTTATTGGTTTTGAGTCAGGGTCTGGCTGGGCGGCCTGGGCTGGAGCACAGCGGAGTGATCACAGCTCACTGCAGCCTCCACCTTCAGGGCTCAAGCCATCCTCCTGCCTCAGCTTCTGGGGTAGCTGGGATGACAGGTGTGCTCCACCCCCTAGGCAAATTTTAGAACGTGTCGTGGACAGGGTCTTGCTGTGTCACCCAGGCTGGTCTCCAGCTCCTGGGCTCAAGCGATCCTCCCGCCTCGGCCTCCCGAAGCACAGGGATTACCGGCGTGAGCCGCTGTGCCCGGCCTGGGTTAGCTTAAAGAACACATCTTTCTTGTGCTGACTGCCGTGTCCCGAGTGACGGGTGCACGGTGACCCTGGGAGACGGCTGGGCGTTGGGCCTCAGGACTGGTGTGAAGTGCCGCCTGGAGGTGGGGTGTCCTGGTGACCCGGGAGCGATCTGGGAGCCTGGGCTGGGGGCGGGGAGGGTGCCTGCCACAGCTCCTACCCTGGCCTGGGGGGCGGCCCTGGCCCCGGCTGTCCCGTCCCGTGGCTCCGGCCTCTCCTGCTGCCCTACGACCAGGGTGGACAAAGCAGATGCTGGCCGTGCTCCCGTGGGACTGGGGGACACGCACCGGGCCTGGTCGGTGGGGACGTGAGGAGATCGCGGCATATGGAGGTGGGGTTTATTGGAATGTTGGAGAAGAGCTGCCAGGAAGTGTTTTTCTGGGTCAGTAAATAACAACTGCCTCGGCCTCCCAGAGTGCTGAGATTACAGGTGTGAGCCACTGCACCCAGCCCATCTGTTCTTCTTAGGCATACTACATAGGGGTTTTGTTGTTGTTTTGTCTGGTAACTCCTGTAGCTTGTTTCTAGTCTTTAGATCCCAGCTGGGTGTTAGTGGAGATAATCAATGCAGATAGCAATTTCCCACACTTTGCCGAGACTATTGACACAATGCCTGATTCTAAAATAATCTGTAAAACACACAAAGATAATAAATGGTTTCTGAATTTTTTCCTCACAGGCACAGTATCTGTTCTTTATTTGATTTTCCTTGTCACCTTTAAGGCTGTTCGCTTGGGATTTCATTTGGAATTTCATTGGTTTATACCAACAGAATTTTTTGTACCAGGTAAGCTGTTTTGGCAAAATAATAAATTATAATACTGTGATCTTAAGTTAACCATTGTTATTTGCTATTTTAAAACAAGTAATGATGTTTTTATGCTGAGCAGTTTTATAAGTGCTATTAAGTTAAAAACAGGACTATAATTGATATTATTTTGAGTTTCTTGCAGTTAGTGGTAAACAGGGCCCTTTGTCATTTTTACTTGAAAACTGAAGTTTATATAAGTTATAGTGCACTGATACTTGAATTTTCTGTTTTTCATCTAGCCTTTCTGATGGATATATAGTGTAGTATTACATTGTGGTTTTATGTTTGTTTTTTTTCTTTTGACACCCTAAAGGATCTTGTGTATTCCAGAGGTTTTATGTTTTTTAATTACAAATTTTAATTGACATAATAGTTGTACATATTTTGGGGGGTACACGTGATATTTTAATACCTCTATGCAGTGTATAGTGTTCAAATCAGGGTAATTGGGATATTCATCACCTCTTTTTGTTGGGAACATACAATGTGGTTTTAATCTGCATTTCTGTAATGGTCAATGGAGTTAGCAACTTTTTTTTTTTTTAATTGCATTTTAGATTTTGGGATGCATGTGAGGAACATGCAGGATTGTTGCATAGGTACACACGGCAGTGTGATTCGCTGCCTTCCTCCCTATCACCTATATCGGGCATTTCTCCCCGTGCTATCGAGTTAGCAACTTTTCATGTGTTCGCTGGCCATTTGGATTTCATCTTTTGTGAAGTGATTCTTCTATTTTTCTATTTAACTGTCTGGTTTTTTTCTTATTGATTTATAGGAGTTCTTTATACTTTCCAGATAAGAATCCTTTCTCAGATATATGTAATGCAATTATCTTCTTCCTGCTTACATTCTTTCTTGATATGCCTTTTCAAAGGAATAAAGTAAGCAGTTTGAAAATGATCAGAAGTTTGGAGCTTCTTTCAAACCATTTTGTGAAGAATCTATAGTTTAATACATTATGCAACAATCATGGTGTTAATGTGTGTGGTCTTTTAACAAGTGTATTTTCCACTCAAAAACTTGTATATGCATGTTTATAGCAGCAGCATTCATAATAGCCTGAAAGTGGAAACAGCCCAGTGTCTATCACTAATGAATGGATAAATAAAATGTGGTATATCTTTCTTTTTTTTGAGACAGAGTCTCACTTTGTCACCCAGGCTGGAGTGCAGTGGCACAATCTCGACTCACTGCCACCTCTACCTTACAGGTTCAAGTGATTCTCCTGCCTCAGCCTTCCAAGTAGCTGGGATTACAGGTGTGCACCACCATGCCTGGCTAATTTTATATTTTTAGTAGGTTTCACCATGTTGGCCAGGCTGGTCTCAAACTCCTGACCTCAGGTGATCTGTCTGCCTCAGCTTCCTCTAAAGTGCTAGGATTACGGGTATGAGCCACCGTGCCTGGCCAAAATGTGGTATATTTGTACAATGGGATATTAATCAACAAGAAAAAAGGAATGAAGTGTTGTGGTTATGGTCGTACAACTCTGTGAATATACTATTCAATTAAAAACTATTTAGTTATATACTTTAAGAGGGTGAAATGAATTATATTTCAATAGTGCTGTTAAAAAGAATCTCAGGTTTTCAAGAAATTTTCTCAAAAAGATAGCTTTTGTTAGTTAGTGGGGAAAAAGCTGTTTACCCACTGTAATGTAACAAGTTAGAAACCTAACAGTGGTCTTACTTGCTTAATTAGAAAAGATAGAAAAGGATTAGCTAACAAATTGCTTTGCATGGTATCTTAACTAAGTAATAGAAATCTGAGAGACAGGAAATTCAGCTAAATTGAAAAGAGCATACTGAAAACTAATAGATCTTATTTTATTTTGATTTATTTATTTTATTTTAGAGCTAGTGCTTGATTCTTGTTTTCTCTTTGTTTCCTGAAATAATATAGCAGAGTCAGTGGACTTTTTATACATTTCTACTTTTTACACTAAGGAATCCCCTGAAATGGGTTTGCCTAGACCAGCAGTATTTTCAAGTAAATCATGGTTTTATTCTACATAAAATCAATTTTTCCTTCTATTAGCAGTCCTCAAAACAGAAATTGGCAGTGCTTTTGCAATGTTATTTTATTCTCACTTATGTGTTTATTGCGGAACATTTAGCGATTATAGGTAAGCGGTTAATTTAAAATAAATTACATAACCTGACATAACCACTATTTATATTTTTATGGATACCCCTCCAGTCTTTTTTCTTTGCATATACACATCTATATACACACACACATATTTGAAAAATAAAAGTAGGCCGGGGACAGTGGCTCATGCTTGTAATCCTGGCACTTTGGAAGGCTGTGGTGAGAGGATTACTTGAGCCCAGGAAATCAAGACCAGCCTGGACAACATGGCAAGACCCTGTCTCTCCAAAAATGTTTTTTTTAAGCTTGGCTGTGTGTGGTGGCATGCACCTGTAATCCTAGCTACCAGGGAAGCTGAGGTAGAAATATCACTGGAGTCCAGAAAGTCGGGGCTGTAGTCAGCCATGTTTGTGCCACTGCATTCCAGCCTGGGTGACAGAGTGAGACCCTGTCTCAAAAAAAATAAAACAATAAAACTAAAAGTAAAATCACAGTATGTATGCTATTTCAATCATAGGGGAAAAAAAAGAAACTGCCTCTACAACATAATTTTTAGTTACCGTATACCACTGTACAACTTTATTTCAATTTAATGAATTCCCTGTAGGTGGACATTTATTTCTAATATTTTAAAATAATGCTTTTTAGATTTGTCAGTGAAGAGTGACACTGGCATATTTCCCTTTCGTATTTCCTTTTTTAGAGGTACTTTTCTGGCAAATTCAAGTATTAAAAAAATGAAGGACTTTAAAGACAGACAGACCCTAAATTTGAATCCTGCCCTTCCCCATACCAGTTGTATGACCTCAAATAGGAGTAATTGATATAAAGTGCCTGCACAGAGTATACTTTTTTTTTTTGGTTCATGGTGGAGTCTTGCTCTGTTGCCCAGGCTGGAGTGCAGTGTGCAGTCTTGGCTCATTACAACCTCTGCCTCCCAGGTTCGAGTGATTCTCCTGCCTCAGCCTCCCAAGTAGCTGGGATTTCAGGTACTTGACACCACACTCAGCTAATTTTTGTGTTTTTAGTAGAGGCAAGGTTTTGCCATGTTGGCCAGGCTGGTGGTCTCAAACTCCTGACCTCAGGTGATCTGCCCACCTTAGCCTCCCAAAGTGCTATGATATAGGCATAAGCCACTGAACCCAGCCAGAGTATACTTTTTCCCCCTTTTGAGTGCTTTGCCCAAGTATAATGGTAGCCTTGAGGAACTTTGTAAAGACATTTTGGGAATGCTGGAAAGATGGCCGCCTAAGAACAGCTCAGGACTTCAGCTCCCAGTGAAAGTGCAGAGGGTGAGTGGACGCCGCATTTCCAGACGAACTCTTATTGCCCACAGACCAGGAGATACCCAGGCAGAGGGGTCGCCAGCATCGCATTCCCAGCCGGTGCCGCTGTTTTGGCCCCCGCGGGGCTGATTCCGCCCGCGCGGCTGCTGTGACCCCTCCCTGTTGCTGCGGTTCTCCATACAAAAGCCACTGGTCTGGGAGCCCTCTTAGCTGGTGAGCAGAGCCCTGAGACAGCAGATTTGCCCATTCATCTGAAATAGCGAGTCAGGCCAGGAGATTCCTAGGCACAAAATCCGCCAGGAGCCGGCGCCGCAGTTCGAGCCGACTCCGTGAGTCGCAGCACGGAAGATCCCGGCACCTTTTCAACAAGCGACCGGAACGCGGGGTCCTTCAACTTAAAAGAAAAGACTCTTTGAGTCAGGGAGCCAGGTGATCAGGCTCGGTTGGTCCCACCCCTCCACCCCCAACAACAACGAAAACAAAAACAGTAATTGGAAACCCTCTGGGTTGAGCCCTTCAAACCAAGCACAGCTGAACCAGGACGGTCCGGCTCCGTGGGGGAGGGGTTTCCGCCATTACTGAGACTCTCCACCGCTGCGGAGGCAGGCTGCCGTTGCCGAGGCAACCTGCCACAACAGAGAGAGTCCGCCATAACAGAGGTGGGGCCACCATTGCCGAGACAGTTCTAACTACCCCCATATAAAAAGGACTACAGGGAAGAGCTCAGGGCAGCTGGGCGGAGCCCACAGCAGCTCAGCAAAGCCCCTGTGGGCAGGCAGTGTCTAGGCATGCTGCTAGCTGGGCGGGTGAGACCTGAAAGAAAAATCAAAAAAGGCAGTAGTGCAACGGAAACTCATAAAGCTCCAACTCCCTGGGACAGAGACAGACAACAGGTGGATAAACCCACAAAAATGGGAAGAAAGCAGCGCAAAAAGGATGAAAACTCCTGAAACCAGAACACCTCTCCTCCTAAAAGGGATCACAACTCCTCACCAGCAAGGGAACCAGACCGGATGGAGAAGGAGGGTGATGAAATGACAGAATCAGACTTCAGAAGGTGGGTAGTAAGAAACTACAATGAGCTAAAAGAACATGTTCTAACCGAACGCAAAGAAAATAGGAACCTTGAAAAAAGATTGGACGAACTGCTGACGAGAATGGACAGCATAGAGAGGAGTATAAGTGAATTGATGGAGCTGAAAAACGCAACACGAGAACTTCGTGAAGCATGCACAAGCTTCAACAGCCGAATTGACCAAGCAGAAGAAAGGATATCAGAGGTCGAAGATCAACTCAATGAAATAAAAAGAGAAGGCAAGAACAGAGAAAAAAGCGCAAAAAGGAATGAACAAAATCTTCAAGAAATGTGGGACTATGTGAAAAGACCTAATCTACGTCTGATAGGTGTACCTGAATGTGATGAAGAGAATGAATCCAAGCTGGAAAATACTCTTCAGGATATTATCCAGGAAAACTTCCCCAACCTAGCAAGGCAGACCAATATTCAAATCCAGGAAATACAGGGAACACCACAAAGATATTCCTCAAGAAGAGCAACCCCAAGGCACATAATCGTCAGATTCACCAGGGTTGAAATGAAAGAGAAAATGCTAAGGGCAGCCAGAGAGAAAGGTCGGGTTACCCACAAAGGGAAGCCCATTAGACTCACAGAAGATCTCTCAGCAGAAACCCTACAAGCCAGAAGAGATTGGGGGCAAATATTCAACATCCTTAAAGAAAAGAACTTTCAACCCAGAATCTCCTATCCAGCCAAACTAAGCTTCATAAGTGAAGGAAAAATAAAATCCTTTGTGAACAAGCAAGCACTCAGAGATTTCATCACCACCAAACCGGCTCTACAAGAACTCCTGAAAGAGGCTCTACACATATAAAGGAACATCCAGTACCAGCCACTCCAAAAACACACCAAATGGTAAAAGAGCATCAACACAATCAAGAATCTACATCAACTAACCAACAAAACAGCCAGGTAGCATCAAAATGACAGCATCAAATTCACACATAACAATACTATCCCTAAATGACAATGGACTAAATGCCCCAATCAAAAGACACAGACTGGTAAATTGGATAAAAAGCCAAAACCCATCAGTGTGCTGTATCCAGGAAACCCATCTTACATGCAAGGATACACAAAGGCTCAAAGTAAAGGGATGGAGGAAGATCTACCAAGCAAATGGAGAGCAAAAAAAGGCAGGAGTTGCAATTCTCATCTCTGACAAAATAGACTTTAAAGCAACAAAGATCAAAGGAGACAAAGAAGGACATTACATAATGGTAAAAGGATCACTGCAACAAGAAGAGCTAACGATCCTAAATATATACGCACCCAATACAGGAGCACCCAGATACATAAGGCAAGTTCTTAATGACTTACAAAGAGACTTAGACTCCCACACAATAATAGTGGGAGACTTTAACACCCCATTGTCAATATTAGACAGATCAACCAGACAGAAAATCAACAAGGATATCCAGGACCTGAATACAGACCTGGAACAAGCAAACCTAATAGACATTTACAGAACTCTCCACCCCAAATCCACAGAATACACATTCTTCTCAGCACCACATCACACCTACTCTAAAATTGACCACATAATTGGCAATAAATCACTCCTCAGCAAATGCAAAAGAACAGAAATCATAACAAACAGTCTCTCAGACCACAGTGCAATTGGGTTAGAACTCAGAATGCAGAAACTAACTCAGAACCGCACAGCTTCATGGAAACTGAACAACTTGCTCTTGAATGTTGACTGGATAAACAATGAAATGAAGGCAGAAATAAAGATGTTCTTCGAAACCAATGAGAATGAAGACACAACATACCAGAATCTCTGGGACACATTTAAAGCAGTCTCTAGAGGAAAATATATAGCAATGAGTGCCCACATGAGAAGAAAGGAGAGATCTAAAATTGACACCCTATCATCAAAATTGAAAGAGCTAGAGGAGCAAGATCAAAAAAACTCAAAACCTAGCAGAAGTCAGGAAATAACTAAGATCAGAGCAGAACTGAAGGAAATAGAGACACAAAAAACTCTTCAAAAAATCAATAAATCCAGGAGCTGGTTTTTTGAAAAGATCAACAAAATAGACAGACCACTAGCCAGATTAATAAAAAAGAAAAGAGAGAATAACCAAATTGATGCAATAAAAAACGATAAAGGGGATATCACCACAGATTCCACAGAAATCCAAACCATCATCAGAGATTATTACAAACAACTCTATGCACATAAACTAGTAAACCTGGAAGAAATGGATAAATTCCTGGACACCTGCATCCTCCCAAGCCTAAACCTGGAAGAAGCCGAAACCCTGAATAGACCAATAACATGGTCTGAAGTCGAGGCAGCAATAAAGAGCCTACCACCCAAAAAAAGCCCAGGTCCAGACGGGTTCACAGCTGAATTCTACCAGACATACAAAGAGGAGCTGATACCATTCCTTCTGAAACTATTCCAGACAATCCAAAAAGAGGGAATCCTTCCCAAATCATTTTACGAGACAAACATCATCCTGATACCAAAACCCGGCAGAGACTCAACAAGAAAAGAAAATTTCAGGCCAATATCCATGATGAACATAGATGCAAAAATCTTGAATAAAATACTGGCAAACCGATTGCAACAGCATATCAAAAAGCTCATCCACCATGATTAAGTAGGATTCATCCCGGGGATGCAAGGCTGGTTCAACATACGCAAGTCCATAAACGTAATTCACCACATAAACAGAACCAAAGACAAAAACCACATGATTATCTCAATTGATGCAGAGAAGGCTTTCGAGAAAATTCAACAACCCTTTATGCTAAAAACCCTCAATAAACTAGGTATTGACGGAACGTATCTCAAAACAATAAAAGCTATTTACGACAAACCAACAGCCAATATCAAACTGAATGGGCAAAAACTGGAAGCATTCCCTTTGAAATCTGGCACTAGACAAGGATGCCCCCTCTCACCATTCCTATTCAATATAGTACTGGAAGTTCTAGCCAGAGCAATCAGGCAAGAAAAAGAAATAAAGGGTATCCAAATTGGAAAGGAGGAAATCAAATTGTCTCTATTTGCAGATGACATGATTGTATATCTGGAAGACCCCATCATCTCAGCCCAAAGTCTCCTGAAACTGATAAACAACTTCAGCAAAGTCTCAGGATACAAAATCAACGTGCAAAAATCACAAGCATTCCTATACACCAGTAATAGACTTCAAGAGAGCCAAATCAAGATCGAACTGCCATTCACAATTGCTACAAAGAGAATAAAGTACCTAGGAATACAACTAACAAGGAACGTAAAGGACCTCTTCAAGGAGAACTACAAGCCATTGCTCAACGAAATAAGAGAGGATACAAACAGATGGAGAAACATTCCATGTTCATGGTTAGGAAGAATCAACATCGTGAAAATGGCCATACTGCCCAAAGTAATTTACAGATTCAACGCTATTCCCATCAAGCTACCAATGACCTTCTTCACAGAACTGGAAAAAAACACCTTAAACTTCATACGGAACCAAAAGAGAGCCCACATAGCCAAGTCAATTCTAAGCAAAAAGAACAAAGCAGGAGGCATCACACTACCGGACTTCAAACTATACTACAAGGCTACAGTAATCAAAACAGCATGGTACTGGTACCAAAACAGAGATATAGACCAATGGAACAGAACAGAGGCCTCAGAGGAAATACAACATACCCACAACCATCTGATCTTCGACAAACCTGACAAAAACAAGCAATGGGGAAAGGATTCCCTGTTTAATAAATGGTGTTGGGAAAACTGGCTAGCCATGTGCAGAAAGCAGAAACAGGACCCCTTCCTGACACCTTACACCAAAATTAACTCCAGATGGATTAAAGACTTAAACATCAGACCTAATACCATAAAAACCTTAGAAGAAAATCTAGGCAAAACCATTCAGGACATAGGTGTAGGCAAGGACTTCATGACCAAAACGCCAAAAGCAATGGCAACGAAAGCCAGAATAGACAAATGGGACCTAATCAAACTCCACAGCTTCTGCACGTCAAAAGAAACAGTCAGTAGAGTGAATCGGCAACCAACAGAATGGGAAAAAATTTTTGCAGCCTACCCATCTGACGAGGGGCTGATATCCAGAATTTACAAAGAACTAAAGCAGATCTACAAGAAAAAAACAAACAAGCCCATTCAAAAATGGGCGAAGGATATGAACAGATACTTTACAAAAGAAGACATACAGGAGGCCAACAAACATATGAAAAAATGCTCATCATCACTGGTCATCAGAGAAATGCAAATCAAAACCACATTGAGATACCATCTCACACCAGTTAGAATGGCGATCATTAAAAAATCGGGAAACAACAGATGCTGAAGAGGATGTGGAGAAATAGGAACACTTTTACACTGTTGGTGGGAATGTAAATTAATTCAACCATTGTGGAAGACAGTGTGGCGATTCCTCAAGGACCTAAAAATAGAAATCCCATTTGACCCAGCAATCCCATTACTGGGTATATATCCAAAGGATTATAAATCATTCTACTACAAGGACACGTGCACACGAATGTTCATTGCAGCACTGTTTACAATAGCAAAGACCTGGAACCAACCCAAATGCCCAACAATGATATACTGGATAGGGAAAATGTGGTACATATACACCATGGAATATTACGCAGCCATCAAAAACGATGAGTTCACATCCTTTGTAGGGACATGGATGAACCTGGAAACCATCATTCTCAGCAAACTGATACAAGAGCAGAAAATCAAACACCGTATATTCTCACTCATAGGCGGGTGTTGAACAATGAGAACACATGGACACAGGGAGGGGAGCACTACACACTGGGGTCCGTTGGGGAGAAATGGGGGAGGGACGGGGGGGTGGGGAGGTGGGAAGAGATAGCATGGAGAGAAATGACAGATACAGGTGAGGGGACGGAAGGCAGCAAACCACACTGCCATGTGTGTACCTATGCAACAATCTTGCATGTTCATCACATGTACCCCAAAACCTAAAATGCAAAAAAAAAAAAAAAAAAAGACATTTTAATATTCCTATTCCCTGGACAAAACAGTGACAACTGATTTTTACTAATCAACTTTTGGTTACTAATATTCATTTTCTAATTGTCCGTTTTAATGTTTTTGTTTTCATTTTTCTCCTAGAGATAAGACTTCAGTTTCCACAGCTGACTGGAGTGCTTACCCTTGCTTTTTTTATTCATAATTGTATCATCACACTCTTGAAGAACAACAAGAAACAAGAAAACAATGTGAGTAATTATCTGAGGAATTTACTTTTGTATCTCCTGAGGATAAACTTTTTAAGTCAGTATTTGAGGCACTTTATATTTGGAGTACAATTAAGCAATTTTGTTACAAGATCTTAATTTTTTAAACTTAAACCATAGAGCAGTGGTCACCAATTTTTTTCTGTCAAGGTTCAGATGATAAATATTTCAGGCTTTGTAGGATATATGGTTTTATTTTTAATTTTTATTTTATTTCATTTTATTTTTTAGAGATGGGGTTTCACCATGTTGGCCAGGATGGTCTCGATCTCCTGACCTCATGATTCAGCCTCCCAAAGTGCTGGGATTACAGTCATGAACCACCACACCCAGCCAGCTATACCTACCCAACTCTGCTGTTATGTTATGAAAGCAGCCATAGATAATAAGTAAACACATGGGTGGTGGCATTGTTTCAATGAAACTGTTTACAAAAACAGACATCAGACAAGATTTGGCCCATGAGCCATAGTTTGCCAGTGAGCAACCACTGAAAAAATAGAGATAGAGCTAATAAGCCAATAATGGTGGTAAAATCTTTTTAAGATACCCTGGGTGTGGTGGCTCAGGCCTGTAATCCCAGCACTTTGGGAGGCCAAGGTAGGAAGATCACTTGAACCCAGGAGTTTGAGACCAGCCTGAACAACATGGTGAGACCCTGTCTCTGAAAAAAAAAAAAAATTAGCCAGGTCTGGTAGCACATGCCTGTAGTCCCAGCTACTTGGAAGGCTGAGGCAGCAGGATTACTTAAGCCCAGGAAGCCAAGGCTGCGGTGAACTGTGTTCCTGCCACTGCCCCTAGTCTGGTCAACAGAGCGAAACCCCATCTTAAAAAAAAAAAAAACAAGAAAACAAAAAAACGCAACTGATCCAAAAGAAGGCGTGGAAAAGGGACCAAAGAATAGACGTGACAAATAGAAAACAAATAGCAACATAGTAGATTTAAACCCAGTTGTACTGCTAATTACATTAAATATAAATGGTCCAGACACTGCAATTAAAAGAGGCTGGGTGTAATCCCAGCACTTTGGGAGGCTGAGGGGGCGTGGCGGGGAGGGCAGGACGGGACTCAGTTGAGGCCAGGTGTTTGAGACCAGCCTGACCATTATGGTGAAACCCCATCTCTACTAAAAATACAAAAATTAGCCAGGCATGGTGGCACACACCTATAATCCCAGCTACTCAGTGGGAGGCTGAGGTGGGAGAATCGCTTGAACCCAAGGGGTGGAGGTTCCAGTGAGCAGAGATTATGCCACTGCACTCCAGCCTAGGCAACAGAGCAAGATGCTGTCTCAAATAAATAAATAAATAAAAGAGATTTTCAGACTTGTTTAAAAAAACAAAGCCTAACTATATATTGTCAACGAGGAAGTTATGTTAAACATAAAAAAATGCCATGCAAGTATTAAACATAAGAAAGCTGGAGTGGCCATAATATCAGACAAAGTCAACTTTAGAACTAGGAGTATTGCCAAAGATAAAGAGGAGCCTTACATAATGATCTGTAGGGAATAATTCATCAAGAAGACATAATAATCCTAAATGTATATGCACCCAGTGACAGAGCTTCCAAATAAATTAACAATTGCCTAACTAAAAAGGGAAGTAGACAAATCCACAATTATAATTGGACATTTTATCACCTTCCTTCAAGAAATTGATAGAACAACTAGATGAAAATAAGTAAGGATACAGAAAGCATGAAAAACACAGTCAACCTACTTAATCTAATATATAGTTATAAAAGTCGTCTCTCAACTGCGGAATGCACATTCTTTTTCAATACATAAGAACATTTTCCAAGATAGACCATATGCTGTTTCATAAAACAATTCTCAATAAATGAAAGGATTTAAGTCATACAAAGTATGTTCTCTAACCATAATGGAGTGAAGATACAAATCAGTAACAGAAAGAAATTTGCGAAAGTCATAAATATGTGGAAATTGAACAGCATACTCTTAAATAACCAATGAGTCAAAGAAGAATAGCAAGAAAAATTAGAAAATACTTTGAGATTTTTTAATGCAGTGCTTACAGCGAAATGTATAGCTGTAAACGTCCACACTAAAAATGAAGATCTCAGAAACCTATCCTTCTACCTTAGATAACAGGAAAAGTAAAGCAAACTGAACCCAAAGCAAGCAGAAGTTAACCAGTTACTTGTCTGCAGATTTTGAGCTCAATTTAACAGCTTCTGACCTTGTAAACAAAAGTCATAATGAAGTTCTAATAGAGGTCTATACAGTTGTTACTGAAATGCAAAAGAAGGAAGGATTTGCTGTGCCTGGAGACTCTGAGAAGGCTTTGAGTAAGGGGTAGTGTTTGGCAGTCATTAAGAAGGCAAAAGCCTTTCTAAGTAGAGGGAGTAAGCTCTCTAGGGCAAAAATGTAAATTAAGCTCTTCGGTCTTCATCTTTAGTAACCATATATGCAGCATGTTACCTGTAAATGGAGTTGGACTTGAATAAATCTGGATTTTTCCTATTTCTTATCTTGGTGATCTTACCTCAAATTTCATTTTTGTCATATGTAAAAATGATAGCTACCTAAACAGGATTGTGATGTTAACATGATCTAACATACAATAGGGACTGGAAATTTTTAGTATTTTCACCCCTCTTACTCCTGTTATTTACAGCCGGTTCTTGTAAGCCCAGTTAGCCAAGTACCCTAGAAACTCATTTTATTAAGTAGAATTTTCACATATTGGATGATCCTATCCATAAGGCTGCATTTCTCCAACTTTACCACTGAAGTCTCCCTAATAACAGAACACCCTTGTATACCTGGGAATCTGGGGAAGACAAACACAATCTTACTGAAGTCTCATGTTTTATCTTAAACATTCACACATATTTTTATCATGCTCATAATTAGTTTGTCTTACTCGAAAACAGTCTGAAAATAATGAGTTAAGTTACAGGCAGTTCTCATGTTGCATGGTTCTTTCATGCACCAATTTCATTAATCTGGCTTAGTTAAATTACATCAGTTCCTCCTAACAACATTTGTTTCAAATCTCAGTTACCAGAAGATTTGAACTATTAGTACTTGTAAAGTAGTAGTTGCTAGCCCTCACTTCACAAAGCACTGCATAAATAACAAGTGCACATGATGATTAATAACCAATCACATAACTTCTTTCAAAGTCTGTTAGTGACTGGTCACTGTGTGTGTTTTTCACTGTATAGTCTGCAAAGCAGATAGTTAGTTGTATTACCTCCTTGTCTCCCAGTGATAAACTGACATATTTTGTAAAAATGGATACTTGAACAGGGAATTGTCAAACAAAGGTGCCACAGTGAAACAAAACAATAATGCTAGAAGTGAAATTTGAATTGAACTCTATAGAGTTATGAAAGAAATAGCCAGTTGTGAAAATTGTTGACACTGTTGTCATACCAGAGACTCTACATACGTAGCCAGAGAAACTTAAGGAAGGTGAGCTTATCAACATGCATTTGGAAAGTGGTTATGATTACAAGAATGAAGCTATCCCAGAGGAAATGACATGGTCGGAAAACTTCACATTAATCGAATTCTCAGTGATGTTTCATAACATTGAAAGCACAGAAGAGGAAATGTTAGAAGCCGGTGCAGTTAGGATAAAGGAGTACGACAGTTCACCAAGGCATGGAAAAGATGCCTGCTCCATATTGTTAAGTTATACAATGAGAAGAAGGAGGCAAACATAGTTCAGACCATTCTTGGTAAGTTTTTACCAAAAAAAAAAAAAATACTTTAATTCTCAATATTCCTGATATTGTAATGTGCTTTAAAAAATGTTTTACTTTTTAAAATTTCCCCATAGATTTGTAACTGACAGTGAGAATATTTAATGTTTCGACAATTATTAAAGATCATAGAACAATTATCATTTTCCCATTGATTGCTGTGATCACATTGCACTGTTTCAGGTTGCGTAGTAATTTTTATAGTCTCATACTACCCTGCAAAGTGAGGACTGTCTGTGCTTAACTTTTTGCTCCCCAATATTCTCAAATTGAATTGCTTTTTTGGAAAGTGACACCAGTTTATCTGGAGGTGTATATGTCCCATTGTAAGAAGCTCAGTGCTAGATTGAGATGGGTGTTCTTAATTTATGGTCTCCCAAGGACTGAAGGCATGTCTTTGCCTTGCTTAGTAGAACACTCAGTGGGCCTCGAAATCTGTATTTCATGTGTAAATACCATAAAATGAGTTATTTCCACTTAGTATTGGGACTAGGGCTTTGTAGAACTATTATATTGGGTTCAGCTAATACAATTTGATTCACCTTTTGTCACTTGTAGAAAATATTTTTAAAACAAAGGCTTAAAAGCAAAGGTTTAAATGGCTAGAAGTGATGGCTCAGGCCTGTAATCCCAGCACTTTTGGAGGCTGAGGTGGTTGGATCACCTGAGGTCAGGAGTTCCAGACCAGCCTGGCCAGCAGGACAAAACCCCATCTCTACTAAAAATAGAAAAATTAGCCAAGCATGGTGTTGGGCCTCTGCAATCTCAGCTACTCAGGAGGCTGAGACAGGAGAATCACTTGAACCTGGGAGGCAGAGGTTGCAATGAGCTGAGATCACACCACTGCCCTCGAGCCTGGGTGACAGAGCGAGACTCCATCTGAAAAAAAAAAAAAAGAAGAAGAAAAAAAGAAAAACCACAAAGGTTCAAATGGGTGATTTTTTTTTTCTGTCTTAATTGAAATTGGGGTATGAAGTGATGGTCTAGCTTTCAAAAATTTAGTTGTACTTTTCATATTAACTTCTTAAAATAATAATTACTAAGGGTAAAGCTAACATTTATGAAACACTATGCGCCAGCAACATTCTAAACCCTTCAACTACATGTAAATATATGCACTCTTCTTTTTTTTTTTTTTTTTTTTTTGAGACGGAGTTTCACTCTTGTTACCCAGGCTGGAGTGCAATGGCACGATCTCGGCTCACCGCAACCTCCGCCTCCTGGGTTCAGGCAATTCTCCTGCCTCAGCCTCCTGAGTAGCTGGGATTACAGGCACGTGCCACCATGCCCAGCTAATTTTTTTGTATTTTTAGTAGAGACGGGGTTTCACCATGTTGACCGGGATGGTCTCGATCTCTTGACCTCGTGAGCCACCCGCCTCGGCCTCCCAAAGTGCTGGGATTACAGGCTTGAGCCACCGCGCCCGGTCACTCTTCTTTTGATTATACTGAAATTGGCTTATATAGTAGCAAAAATCAAGCTAAATGGGTACAATATTCTGAGAAAAACTTTGTCATTTGATTTATTTAATGATTATACCTTTCACCAGGTTTCAGTAAGTACTTTGACTTACAGAAGTCCTGTTAATATCATTGCATAATATTATATTGAGATTAAAGTCAGAAAATGTAAAGCTTGCCAGGGACTGAATTCATAACGTGGATACTGGATCATTCCAAGCTCAGTAAACAAAGGTTTGAAAGTAGAAAAGAAAAATAGAAAAGATCTCCTCTTCTGTATAAACTATAGTTGGACTTGGAGCTAAAGATATTTGAAAAGAAAGAAACAAAATCCTAAATAGGTGTAGTGATCAAATTTTCCAGGTTTTCCAAGTTCAACTTCATTTCATACAGTTTTTTTTGCACTAAACCTAATTTGTTAGATGTATAAATGGGATATCATTTTTATTCTTTTGCCATATCTTACCAAAAAGGGGCGTTAGGGAGCAGAAGACCATCCAACTAGTTTCTTATCACCAAAATATGTCATCCCTATAAACCTACTGGTTGTTGTGTGGATTGACCTCTTGATACTTCCTCGTTGTATTTGAATCAGAACCTCTAAGTGCTTATTTTATTGAGTTTTGTTTTGTCTGTCTGTGTTTAGTTGTATTACCCTGCTTTGTTTTTTAAAACTATTTGGAATGCCTTATATCTTGATTTTTTTATTTACTTTTTCCTTCTTCATATGAATCTGTGGTTTACTTGGCTGTATACCAGGAGAAGTTATGTAAATGTTTGGGGTCAGTCTGTGTGGTCAGTTTCTGTCATTTTTGTTAGTAAATGCTCCACTGGTTAGTATTTTCACTATGAACGGTACGTGGAACAAATAATAAACCAAGTCTGACGAACAGAATGTGCTCCCAGACCCACTTTTGGGCCTGTTGTAGATCCAGTTTTCATTCTGACTTGGCATTCTACCTTTCTTTACTTTTCTACCGTCAACCCTGCCAGCCATTTCTTATTCACAAGGCAAAATCAGTTACCTTATTTAAAGTATAGGCTTCTTGACATAATTACCAGTTTATTTTACCACATGTGTCTCTTTTAAAATACATTTTTTACTTGAGCATTATTTTCTAAAGAATAGCTTTTTTTTTCTGTCCTGTGTCATTAAACGGGCTTTCAAGAGGCCATATCTTTAGACCTAATACAGTAATAGCTTGCATTTGAGCCAGAGAATAGCAAAGCCAGAGAATAGTATACACAAAGTATATGTGTATACTATTCATAAGGGGTGTGTTTCCCAGCATCATGCTAAACCTCAGCTGCTTTTATAATAAAAGCATCATTTCTGTTCATTATTTAGACGAAAATAGACATGGAACTCCTGAGCCACTTTTACTGAATGTATGTTGGAGTAACATGAAATAGAACTTTTCCGATTTTAGTATCTCAAAATGGAAGGATCTCTGTAAGTGTTTTGTTGTATCGTTTGTTACTCATAACTTGTTACCTCTTTTACTGTTATTATTATTTATTAACTACGACACAACTGCATTGGGGACTGATCAGCTCTCCATCATAGTAGCAAAAGACCTGCAATTTGGAACTAGAAAGATCTTGATTTGAATACTGGTTTCAGATACTCACTTTGCAGCCACAAACGAGTTTTGTAACCTTGCTGGACTTAGTGTACATCTGTAAAATGAAGAAAATGACAGTATCTATGTTATAAGGTTGCAATGTGGATTAAATGAAATGACATTTGTAATGGGCTTAGCAACAGAGCCTGGCACCTACAAGCACTTAATAAAGCTAATGTGGCTATTATTCTTTTATCTACATTTACCAAGTTCCTCCTATGTACCTGGTGTGGTCCTGGATATTGAGGATAATAAAGAAGAAAAAGACATGGTCCCTGTCCCCAGAATCCCTGAGTCTTGTGGTACAGACACATTTAGAGAAAAATTTAAAAGCCAACATGATACGAAACTATTAACCTTGGCTATTTTAGGAATGTCAAGGGACATTTTATTTCCACTTGAAATTCTTTATATCATGCATGTGGATTACTTTTATAATAAAAGTTAATGACTATCAGTACAGTGGAATAGTTGCTGTATTTGAGATATGTATATAGTGCAATGAGAACAGAGAAGAAGAAGGGAAAACTCTTATGGGAAGCCCTGCACCATAGCCTTTGCATCTTCATCAGATTTCCCCCAAAGTATGCTTCTTTGCAAGAAGTTAGACCAAGATAATGTGGTGATCAGGTAGTAGATAAACTGAAAACTGTCTGTGGAATGGTGGCTATCCCGCACACAGCTGTCTCAGGCACAGCTGCTATGCCTCCCAAGATTTTTTTACAAGGCTACCTCTGTTCTTGAGTGGCATTGAGTAGGTTGAGTGTAGAATGACGTTCAGACAACATAATGGGAAACTACTGCTCTTTGATGAAAAAGTTTATTTGGCTTGGTTCATTGCTGTTCATCCCACACAAGATCCTGAGGCAACCCTAGGGGTGACTGAAGTCTGGCTTCCCGTCAGACCTACAGCTTCATGAACTAAAGAGGAATGATTTTGAAAACCCCCCTGGAGGTTTGGTCATCCTCTTCCTCATTCCTAAACCATTAGAAGCATTTTGAGAGGGCTGGAACCAATCTGCATAAGGCTTTAGCTCCATGGGCTTATCCACCATCTAATTTGGGATTTTAAATCCCTGATTTACTTTCAAGCTGATTGTCAATTTAGACCTGACCTTAAGATTTCTCAAAACTTGTCACTTACTTTTTAACTGCATTTATCAACATTCAAATTTATAAAACTCTACTACTTTAGCCCATTTAAGGAAGAAAGTAATCCAAAAAGTCAGAAATGTTTTCTAATACCAAATGTCCAGTTTTCTTATTGTGCTATCAAATGTTTTTAAGTTTATTTTTTTTAATTTGTTTCCTTAGCTTTCAAAGTTATTTTTGTTTAAAGTGAAAAATAAATAGGCTTGTTGCCATAATTTAGTTGTGATGAATTGTTTGGCTAATACTTTAGTGATGATGAAGACCAGATTTTTGAGCTGGGGAGTCTGTTCTGTTTGGATTGGACAGCTGGCTACATTAAATATCTTGGAGCTTTTTACTTTGCATGGAGATGGGAGGTTGGGAGGGTGGGAACTGCAGTAGAAGAAAGCAGTCCACTTTATTTAATGTTCTGTATTTGTTTGCTGATTCCAGTAACATTGTGCAGCTGTTCGGACAGCTGCCTTTTGATTTCCTTTTGTTTACTGTTTAGGTTTATTAAGCTTGTCTTTAATACTGCTTGTTGTCTGTTCTTTAACTAGCTTTATTTATTAAATATATTATAATATGTTCTTTGCTGTGGACTAGGCATGTTTTAATTATGTAAGTTAATTTACCAAAGGAAGAATTTTAAAATGTTGCAGACCATACTGAAGTGGCTCATGCTTACTTTCTTGTTGTTCCTCAGCTTTATTATTGTAGTTAAATATTTTATAATTTGGTAACTAAATCACCTTTTGAAATTAATTCAGAATTTCAGTCATGTTAAACCACTGTTTATGTTAACTTCTAAGTCTGCCAACAGGTAGCTTAGTCTACATACTTCAGACTACTTTTAAAAAAAAAAATTGGCAGACTAATTGTAAAGTATGTGGATTTTTTTTTAACTACTTTCTGTGAATAGATTGAATATCTAGGAATGTATACACACATACATAAGGTAAAAAGACAATTTTTGTATTTATTTGTTAATCTTCTTAGCCTCTTCAGGTAGACTTACTGCAAGGTCTTCAATATTATGGGACTTTTGCTCTGTATTTACAGGTGAGGGACCTGTGCATTGCTTACATGCTGGTGACGTTAACTTATCTCTATATTGGAGTCCTGGTTTTTGCTTCATTTCCTTCACCTCCATTATCCAAAGATTGTATTGAGCAGGTAAGGCCCTGTGTACTCTCTCTATGTAATTGTATATACCTTCATGTATTTATAGTAGGCAGGGTGATACAGTGGCAAGATACAACATCAGATAGACCTGGGGTTTTAATACCGTCTCTGCTATGTACTCCAAGTATGCAAACTTAGGCACCTTCCCTTTTCTTTCTAAGCTTTCTTTTTCTTTTCCATTAAATAGTATAATAAGTACCCCATTCGATTTTTAGTTGGACTCTGAGATAATGTACTGCATGCCAGGCATCTTGTGGTACTCAAATAAATGACTTCTATTATGTACATATATTTCTCTTTTTGTGGGGAACTATTAAAGGTAGTTCTCATGTAGTTATAAAACCTCCACAGAGAACACATTGCACTCCCTATTTTCCAAAACCAACATCGGAAATGCCCTCGGATAAACTAGAGCAGGCATCCCCAAACTACAGCCCACCCACAGGCTGCATGCGGCCCCCTGAGGCCATTTATCCAGCCCCCCGCTGCACTTCAGGAAGGGGCCCCTCTTTCACTGGTGGTCAGTGAGAGGAGCACAGTACGTGGCGGTCCTCCAACGGTCTGAGGGACAGTGAACTGGCCCCCTGTGTAAAAAGTTTGGGGACGCCTGAACTAGAGTCTTAGTTTATCAGACCCTAAGGATTAATCAGACTCTCATTCTTATACTGAGTGACAGGCAACAAAACAAAAAAAGAGTATTTGGCTGTTAAAAAAAGAGAGAGAGATGTTCTATGAATTACCGGAGGGTTAAAAAGAAAAAAGAAGAGAGAGACAGAGTAAAAGAAAAAAATCTTCTAGTAAAAGATTGCCATAACTAATATTTTCTTCGATTTAACCCATCAAAAACTTAGCAGTAGTATAGTCTTTAGTTATATGTGACTGAAGAATTTCTCATAAAAAAACAACATTTCACAAGTGACTTTCTGGTCAGTAGAAATTCCTCTAATAGAGTGCAATGGAACATACAATGTGATTTATTACAGCTGAATTATAATGGTTATTTCAGCAGAACCATGTTAATAGTGTTCTCATCTTTAAAGGAGAAATAAGTTTGAATTACTACTATTACGGCAGCTTGGAAATGTTCTTATTCCCTTGATTTCCTTGACTCCAGAAGTTCTATGGCAACTAAATGTTTGCTGAAAATTTCCCCGATATGAACAAATTCATACAAAGCCTACTCCCTTGGGAATAGGAATATTTGTGGTATTTTTATTTGAAAGGAAAAATTAAAATTCTGAGTAATTAACTTTAAGATACCAAATGATTAATAAATTTAAGATTAATAAACCAAAATGGAGAAAAGGGTCATGAAAGGAAGTAGAGATAAATCCTTTTCAATTTAGTGATAGACTAAACAATGATGTGGTAGGTGATAGACGGACTCTCACCTTATTTTGTCATCTTTACTTCAAAGTGCTTGCAGTGCTTTAGAGGAGGAAAGCAAGAGAGCCAGAGAGGGTAAAATAACATTGAATTAAATTAGCTCTTTAAATCTTTCAAACAGACTTTGGTGTTCTGCTTGAACCACATAGAGCAGTGCTTTCTCCATTTGTGGTGATGGACAAAATTGTCTTTGTTGTTGCCTTAATGTCATATTGCAGACTGATACTTTTGTAAAATAGAATAAAATTGTGGCAATGTCGGGTTTCTGTAAAAGTTTCTAAACAATTTCAATTTTTATACTTACCTCATTGAAAAAATACTTAAGTAGTTGTCGATGGGCACTAGTCCACAAACCGCAATTGGAGTAGCACCTGTGCCTGTGTTCAAAATAAACAGAAGACATTCCATGTTATGAATGTGTGTGTACTGAATTTGATGTGTAACATGACCTCATTATCTTTCTTGGATTAGAATTTTTTAGACAACTTCCCTAGCAGTGACACCCTGTCCTTCATTGCAAGGATATTCCTGCTGTTCCAGATGATGACTGTATACCCACTCTTAGGCTACCTGGCTCGTGTCCAGCTTTTGGGCCATATCTTCGGTGACATTTATCCTAGGTAAGGGCTCTTCTCTTGACCAGCAAGATGTGCCAAGCAACAAATGACTGTGCGAGCAGGTCAGTTTAAGTGTTGACTGATCCTTTTGCTATAAAAATGCCTGATGAATGTGGTGACTAAAGATAGATCATTGGTGTCCTCTTCCCTGAAGAGCTTTAAAAATAGAAGCCACTCCCTTGTCTAGAATGATTTAAAGTTTATTCCTTCCAGTTTATTTAATTAGCTCTGATATCATTTATATTTATCTTATTATTTAATTGCTATTGATTTACACATTGCCAAGAAGTTTATAGTGTATAGTACATATGTTGGCAATGTCTGGCTAATGAGAGGCAACACTTTTAATTATTGGTCATTGAAATCATTAAATATCACTATCAGGGCCCAGGGAAAACTTGCCTATTGCCCTCTGAAGGTTTACTGAAAATGACTGACAAAAGGCAGATTAATAGGCAAAAAGGGCCAGGCTCAGTGGCTCATGCCTGCAATCCTAGCACTTTCAGAGGCCAAGGCAGGAGGATTGCTTAAGCCCAGGAGTTCAAGACCAACCTGGACAACATAGTGAAACTCCATTTCTACAAAGTTTTCAAAAATTAGCTGAGCATGGTGGGGCATGCTTGTAGTCCCAGTTACTTAGGAGGCTGAGATGGGAGGAGGAGGATCACTTGAACCCAGGAGACTGAGGCTGCAGTGAGCCAAGATCATGCCATTGCTCTGGGTAATATAGTGAGACCCTCTCTCCAAAAGAAAAAGAAAAAAAAAAAAGAGGAGAAAAGGCATATAAATGTATTTGAATGTGGTTTTACGTTACATGGGAGCCTTTAGAATGAAGACCCCAAAATACAGGGGAAATTATTCATTTTCATGGTTAGGTTTACGTGGACAGCCATGTCTAATGCTAATAGACTGAGAGGGGAAACCCAGCAAGGCCCCTCTGTCTAGATGTTTTTTCTTCATCTGAGCCTGGGGCAGAACCCTCTCTGGAATGGGAATCTTATGACCTGCAGTCAGACAAGACAGGTCAGATCATTTCTTTATGGCTAGTTTTTACACAGAAATAGAGGGAAATTAGAGTAGATTTTATGGCCAGCTTGAGGGAAAAGTTTCTATGTTTCACCTTGGGGAAGGGGAATTCTAGTTTCTAAGCTCACTTGGGGAGAATGGGACTGAGATTCAGAAAGTCAGAGCAAAACTTTTGTTTCTGAGGCTTTCATTTTTGGGTGTGGTTTTCTGAGTCCAACAATGCTTATTTAGACATTCGTTAACATTTATGCAGTTTTACATAAATGACCAACTGTTTAGAATTGAAGATCAGATATATAATTTTTATTTGACATATAACAAGTTTAAATTACTGCTATAATTTTTAAGTTCTTATTGGGGAGGAAGGAATTGTGAGTTCTTTTGAAAATCTGTTCAAAGCTGGTTAACCTCATCCAAGAGAAATTTCTATATGTCACTTCAGTTTCCCTGCAGCCTTCTTGTGGACCCTTGGTTAACTCCTACTCATATTAAGTTTTATTATAGGTTCATCCTAGTGAAAAGAACCTAGTCTAATTTTATTAGGAATAAGTTATTTTAAATAAAGATAACTTTTGAATAAATTTGGAAAAAATTGCATTTACGGTAACCAACTAAACAAGTGGTCTTAATCAGTTCTAGTTTAAAATGAACTGATGTAGTCTGCTTCTTCAGTAAATAATTTTAGCCATAAATATGTTGGTTTCAAAACAAAGCAAAAGTCAAGAGTTACCAGGTCTCAAGGACTGACAAGTACAGCAGCAGCTACAGTTCTAATGTTATCATGCTGAAGATTGGAGCTCAGTAAGTATAAGCCTCTGGTTGTGTTTCTACTCTGCTGTATTTATAATTCACCAAAGAAACTAAATACAGTGAACTCAGATGAAAAATGCTAAGCAAATACACTATTTCTGTTTTCTGCCATTATTTTGCAGAATTGTGGCTATCTTTACAAGAATATTTTTTCTTCTTGGAAAAAGTCAGAGATTTCCCTTTTGTGTTCACATTACAGTTCTTCCCTTACCACCAAGAACACACTGTCATTTTCATTTATCTTACAGTTATAAGCACTCTATAGAGTGTGCATACTTTGGAGCATAATTTTTGGTCTCAGGACCTCTTTATACTCTTAAAAATGTATTGAGGACTCCAGGATCTTTTGTTTATGCAGGTATAGCTATCAGTATTTAAATATTAAAAAACAGAATTTAAAGTATTTTTAATTTTTTTAAAATCAATAATAAAACTATTACTTGTTAACATATATAACATTTTTATAAAAAATAGCCACTTTCAGGGAATGGACACCCCAGTCTCCAGGATGTGATTATTATGTATCACATGCCTGCATGAAAACATCTCATGTACCCCATAAATATATACACCTACTATGTACCCACCAAAATTAAAAATAAAAATAACTACTTTAAAAAAATTTTTAATTTACATTTGCAAACCTCTATTTAATGTCTACTTTACTAGTAGACAATTGGATTCTTCTCTCTATTTCTGCATTCCGTGTTATAATATGCTGTTTTCATTTAGATTTGTCAAGAAAATCCAGCCTCACGTAGATAGTTGGAAAAAGAGTACTTTTTTTTTTTAAGACAGTGTCTCACTCTGTCACCCAGGCTAGAGTGCAGTGACATGATCTCCGCTCACTGCAACCTCTGCCTCCCATGTTCAAGTGATTCTCCTGCCTCAGTCCCCAGAGTAGCTGGGACTACAGGCATGCATTACCACACCCAGCTAATAATTTTTTTTTTTTTTTTTTTTTTTTTTAGTAGAAACGGGGTTTCATTATGTTGGCCAGGCTGGTCTCAAATTCCTGACCTTGTGATCTGCCCACCTCAGCCTCCCATAGTGCTGGGATTACAGGTGTGAGCAACCACACCAGCCAAGAAACAGAACTTTGAATAGCCTTTTCATATAATTATGGATATTCTTCTTTGATACTATGCCAAAACTTGACAAGTAGTAACTTCCTAGGAGTTGCGGTGTGGAATCTGAAACTTGTTTACATGAAAACCAGTTGGCCTATCTTGCACTTTGGATCTTTTAGGCATGCATGATTTTGTAACATCTGTTTGATCATTTGGAAAATACTGGTTCACTGAGTTCTGTGGGTCTTCCAAATTTTGACACACTTCATTTTACAATATCAAAACCCACTTTCATTAATAGTATCACCAATTTTATCATAAGAGCCTTTAAACAGGGGGAAACTTGAGCTCAGAGTAGCAAATACATGTTTTCCAGAATTCTAGTTTGTATTTGAAAGCTTTAATTTTATCTTTGGCAGCAAATACTGCTAGTTGTTTTCCTTGAAGTGACAAGCTCATAGCATTTGTTTTCAGGAAAATGTCTGTCAAACACCTGAGTTTGAATGACCACAGTTTGACTGCAGTTCAATTAAAAATAGCATTTGGTAGGTAAATCAGCTAGGTTGCCTTCCATCTCAGCCACACAAGTATTTTTCCTCAAGACTTCCGGTGTACTGTACTGCAGTGCACAGCAGATGTGCTTTATTATGACCTTCCTATTTGGTCACACAAAATATTTCAGAGATACGTGTTCAAAGCATGAGATGTAGCAAAATTAATGTTTTACTCCTTTATCAAGGATGTTTTTTATTCTTTGGAGAGTGTTTGGCAGTAAAGGATACAGTATGGAAAACATGGGTGTTAGCTGGGCATGGTGATGCATGCCTGTAGTCCCGGCTACTCAGGAGGCTGAGGCAGGAGTATGGTTTGAGCCCAGAACTTCAAGGCTTCAGTGAGCCACGATTGTACCGCTGCACTGCAGCCTGGATGACAGAGCAAGACCCTGTCTCTTAGAAAAATAATAATAATTAATTAAAATTTTAGAAAATATAGATGGGTGCAACTGCCTCCATCTATGTATACAAAGTTGTTTCCTTTTACAATATGAAAATAACAAAGGCCCAGCCAATACCTCAAAGCTCTGAAGCAATTTTTTAAAATTATTATACTTTAAGTTCTGGGGTACATATGCAGATCGTGCAGGATTGTTACATAGGTATATACATGCCTTGGTGGTTTGCTGCATCCATCCCCCTGTCATCTACATTAGGTATTTCTCCTAATGTTAGCCCTCTCCAATACCCCCACCCCTTGCTATCCCTCCCCTAGGCCCCACATCCCCCAACAGGCCCTGGTGTGTGATGTTTCCCTCCCCGTGTCAATGTGTTCTCATTGTTCAACACCCACTTATGAGTGAGAACATGCAGTGTTTGGTTTTTTGTTCTTGTGTCAGTTTGCTGAGAATGATGGTTTTCCCTTTCATCCATGACCTTGCAAAGGATGTGAACTCATCCTTTTTTATGGCTGCATAATATTCCATGGTGTGTATGTGCCACATTTTCTTTATTCAGTCTATCATTGATGGACATTCGGGTTGCCCTGACCCAGCAATCCCATTACTGGGTATATACCCAAAGGATTATAAATCATTCATTATAAACACACATGCTCATGTATGTTCATTGTGGCACTGTTTACAGTAGCAAAGACTTGGAACCAACCCAAATGCTCTGGTGCAATTTTAAGGTAGAAGTTTCTGGGTAAACAGTAAGATCTGTAAGCGTATTATCTTTCTAATTCATCAGAGCATATGACTAACCACTTATTTGTATAAATACTTTTCTTTGTTTTTAATTCTGTCTGTAATTTGTATCTGGGATTAATTAACCTCTGATAACTTGGGCCCAAAGGGTTGCTTTGAAATGTACATTTGGCTTTTGAGAATCATTCTCAGGGAAAATGGAGTTATTTCTTCAGCATCAAATTTTCATCTACATTATTTTTGTTTGTGTCCAAACTTGATTTCTAAACCTTGAATTGTTAATATCTAGTTAAAAGTATTTAGTCAATATTCTGCTCATGGTAGTGAGTAGCTTTAAGTGGTTAAATCTGAAAAATAAAAACCTACCCATTTTGTCTTTCCCTTAACATAGTGTTTTTTAATGTAAAAGTAATTTAAACACTTTATGAAAAGTTTGTTAAATATAGAAAAGAGAGAATATTATCCAAAACCCCAAATTGTAACAGAATCACTATTGCCTTCTCTGTGTATATCCTTCTAATACTGTTTTCAAATGTTTTTGGAGTTTTCTTGTGTAATGAAAATCTAGCTGGCTTTTTTTCTGAATTGCCTAGGTGGTATTTTACCTGACAAGGTAATAATGATGTTATTTTAAATGATTTTTAACATATTCTATCAAGTAAATTGTTGCCTTACTATGTCCAGGATGCTTCTCTTTTTCCGTAAATATCTTCATATTCATAGTATTTTCATTGTTTGGATTATTTCTCAAGATACTCCAAATGGAATCATAGATCAAAGAATGTAAATTCTGATGCACACTACCAGTGTGCCTCTACAAAATTTAACCAGTATAATTGCACAAAAGAGCTGATTTCAGTTTCTTGTTACCAAAATTGGGGACTACTGTTGCCTTCTATTTTTGCTGTGATTTTATTGAGCTTAAGACATTTTGATTTTAATGTTAAGAATGATCTGTATTCTCATACTAGTGGTTAAATTTGCCTATTTTTATATTTTTTCTTTCCTCCAAACTCTCTCCTCAACTTCTAGCATTTTCCACGTGCTGATTCTTAATCTAATTATTGTGGGAGCTGGAGTGATCATGGCCTGTTTCTACCCAAACATAGGCGGGATCATAAGGTACTGCCTTGTAAGGGAATGGTGCCCTTACATATATTGGTCTTTATTTTTAGGCTTTTCTCATTGTTGTTGTTGTTGTCATTTTAATTGAATTGTATTAAATTCCTATGAGTATTTAAAACTACTAATATTCAAATGCAGCCTCTTGGTGTCAGTTAAGATGTTCATTATCTTCCATTTCTGTTTGTTCTGGTGAAGAACTCACTCTAGAAGCCCAATTATCCCTTAGCCTCAGGCATCATTTTCTTTTTCTTTTTCTCATCATCTTCCACTTTATTTCCTCTCTCTATCCAAAATAAAACGTTATTTTAATATATGTATAACTTTTGGGGAGTACCTGGGAGATCCTTTATTTGTCAAAGCTTCCTTAATCCATTCTAAGTTCCTTAATCAATTTCTACTCAAAAATATATTTCAGTATCAGTTGTAGTCAAAAAGTAAGAGTTTAAGTAAGAGTTTAGATCCAAGATGGTTTTCTTTAATATCCTTTTTCTAAAAACATGACAGGATGAATAGAGTAGGAATAAAGTTGTACCTCAAATTCTCATGGGAAATAGGGATTTAGAATGATCTGATTTCTCTTACTATAGACAGCAGGAATGAGTCATTGTTGTTGTTTTTTTTAACATACTTACCTAAATGTTACCTAGGTAACAAGGAACAAGAGGGGGAGATTGAAAACCTGATGCTTATTGAATATAATGGGCTTACAAGTTCCTATTAAACTGTTCCTCAAGAAAAGCCAAGTATAGAGAAAAGGAGAAGAAAGTGCATATTTCTCTGTCACAGTCTCATGTCTAAGTATTTTTGTTATTATCTTTGATAATCATGCTGAATGCCATGGTAGCATTTATCTGTCTGTTCTCATACTTAAACAGATGCTAACGGTCCCTCAAAAACTCAGAATGAGTAATTAGTTTATAAAAGATCAAAGATAGGATGCCTAGCTCCAGATGTTTCTGAGGAAGTAGGCACAATCACTTAAACACAGAGAACTACAGAGATTTGAGGGATGAATAAAAACTCTTTGTCAAGCAGATGCTATAAAGATGAGCAGGAAATCATATTTTATATTAACTTAGCATGTAAAGTAAGTTTTAAACCCAAATGCTTTATGTCAACAACAAATGAATCAAAAATAACTTGTTGAGATATCAGATTGAGGAAGATTTAAATTGTGCTATGTTGACCTTAGCTGTAAATCAGAAAAAGCAAAGTAAAAGATGAACATTAACCCCAAAAGCTTTTATTTTGCAGATACTCGGGAGCAGCATGTGGCCTGGCCTTTGTATTCATTTATCCATCTCTCATCTATATAATTTCCCTCCACCAAGAAGAGCGTCTGACGTGGCCTAAATTAATCTTTCACGTTTTCATCATCATTTTGGGTGTGGCTAACCTGATTGTTCAGTTTTTTATGTGAAATACCTCAACTGTTTGTTTTCTCAAGAGCTTTCATGGTATTTTGAGCCTTGACAACAGTTCTATATAAATGCACTTGTAAATGCTGCTGTTGTGTAATTCTAAATGTTTTCTAAGATAATTTGAAAGCAAGGGAAATAGTGACCCATTAATAAGTATTTTTGTATTGTGGTGGGGAGAGGGGCAAAAAGAATGATCTTTGTGTCTTGACTTTCTCATATTAACTCCCCTCTTCATTCTGTGATCTTTTCTGAATAGCAATGTATGCCCTAGGAAGAAATCATGCTGGGTTTTGCTTTTAGAGATAAAAAGTGGTGGATTTATTTTGCCTACAATAAAGATTCTCAGGGTGTCACAGCAGCATATTGCCAAATCTTTCTTCTGTTTTATGTTTCAGTGTATTCACTTTCATTTTCTTACTTACTAGACCATTTCTGCAGTTTGCCCAAACCTCTACTATTTGGGACAGTAAGTCAAATACCTCATTTTTTAAAAGACGTTTTCATGGCATCAGTGTAAATAGAGTACATTCTTAACTGAGTCTTTAATGTTTATTTGAAGAAAAAGTGAGACAAAAGCAATGTCAATGTAGTCCCCATGATCATGAAATGTATACAAAATAAAATAGGTGAATTTGTTGCCGTCTGACTCCTCTTTTATTTCTAATCCAGTAACAGTGACTTAGATCAAAATTACAGTTCCCCAAGCCAGATTCTGCATAGGAACAAGAATGATTGTCCCCATAGACTCCGGGGTTGCTTTCACTTTTCGGATCCCTGAGATCCCAGCATAGACTGTCATGACAGACCCAGTGGGGAAAGCGTGGCAGAGAGGAGCCTGAGAGGCCCATGGGGGAGAAGGTGAACAGAGAAAGGGCCAGGAAGGAAGAGACCTCAGCCCACCGTATCCTGTGTCCTCTGGGGGTGGGCGTGGTTTCTATACCACAGGAAAGGATTCATTTTGTTTGAGGTGTGACCTCCGGAAAGAGACCTCTGTTGGCTTACTTCTGTAACTGGCAGCACTGTTACCAGAAAGGGGTCCTGACCCAGACCCCAAGAGAGGGTTCTTGGATCTTGCACAAGAAAGAATTCAAGGCGAGTCCACAGAGCAAAGTAAAAGCAAGTTTATTAGGAAAGTAAAGGAATGAAAGAATAGCTACTCCATAGACAGAGCAGCCCCAAGGGCGGCTTGTTGTCCATTTTTATGGTTATTTCTTGATGATATGCTCATCAAGGGGTGGATTATTCATGCCTCCCCTTTGAGACCATAGAGGCTAACTTCCTGACCTTACCATGGCATTTGTAAACTGTCATGGCACCGGTGGGAGGGTAGCAGTGAGGACGACCAGAGGTCACTCTCATTGCCATCTAGGTTTTGGTGGGTTTTAGCCAGCTTCTTGACTGCAGCCTGTTTTATCAGCAAGATCTTTGTGATCTGTGTTTTGTGCAGATTGCCTGTCTCATCCTGTGACTTAGAATGCCTTAATTATCTGGGAATGCAGCCCAGTAGGTCAGCCTCATTTTACTCAGCTCCTGTTCAAGACTGAGTTGCGCTGGTTCATGTGCATCTGATAGTACGGGTTAAATCTTTGTAAGAACAGCTCCTTAAATCTGAGAAAAGGATTAAGGAATCTGCATCCTTGGAATTGACACTCTTCACTTTTGTCTTCTGAACTAACAAGAATCCAAATTCACATTTTTCAAGTAATAAAGCCTCTGTGTCCAGCTCAGGACACAACATGGTAATGTTTCTTTTCTGAAAAAATTAGATTTCTCTAATTTTAAGCTAAAGTTTAAAAACATATTGTATGTTCACCTCTCAGGATAGTGTATGCATTCATGTTATTTCCTTCCTTTGAAAAAGAAAAATGGTTTTTGTAAACCTGGTAAGGAGCCCAGATTCAAGATCAGCTTTAATTTCTTTCAGCAAAGCTTTCTATTCTATTCATAAAGCCATAGAACTATATTAATGATGAACTGTATTTCCTAAAACTCTTTTGTGTTAATAAAATGTCTCATTATGAAAATTCTGAAGCCCACACAAAAGTAGAGTAATATGGTGAACCCCATGTGCCCATCCCCTAGATTTAGTAATTATAAAACTTGGCTGCATTTGCTTCACCTATCTTTTTTTTTTCTTTTCCACTGAAATATTGTCAAGCTCAGATGTTATTTCATCAGTACAAACCTTAATTTACAGCTATTAATAATAACTTTTTGAACATAGTTACATTGTTGGAAGTAGTCTCAAAAGTTTTGTTCACATAAATTGCTGATAGGAGTTAATTGGAAAATTCTGCAGTAGGAGTCAGATCACTGTGTTGATTTCTCTTAGAACAGGAGTATAATGAGAACTACACACACACACACATGGTACAGCTGGGAAAATCTGAGTAAGACTGATGGTTTGTATCAAGGTTAAAAAAAAAAAAAAGAAAAGAAAAAGAAAGAAAAGGACTATAATGAATGGAGAAAGTGGCTCTGTGCTTGAGAACCCCTGAATCTTTATGACTTCAGAATCTTATTCAGTTAAGAGACACAGGATTCAAAAGAGACATAGACAGCTCTGTGAAAGATCTAGGCTTAATCCCAGCTTACCCCCAGTTATCCTTGTCTTTGGAAACAGGGCTTGGCACTGTGGCTCATGCCTGTCATCCAGTTCTTTGAGAGGCTGAGACAGAGTTTTCATTGCCTCTTTTCAATAATGTACTTGAATGTTTTAATACATGAAAAAAATCATTTGATGTATTTTTGTCCATTTAATGAACTAAGTGAATATAACAATGAATGTGGTATTTAGTAAACTAAAAGACTGTGGATCTTTGCTTTTGTTTTCTTTTAAAGTTTTACATGAGGCCAAGTGTGGTGGCTCATGCTGTAATCCCAGTACTTTGGGAGGCCAAGGTGGGCACATCGCCTGAGGTGGTCAGGAGTTCAAGACCAGCCTGGCCAACATAGTGAAACCCCATCTCTACTCAAAATACAAAAATTAGCCAGGCATGGTGGTGCTCACCTGTAATCCCAGCTGCTTGGTAGGCTGAGGCAGGAGAATCGCCTGAACCCGGGAGGCAGAGGTTGCAGTGAGCCAAGATCGCGCCATTCCACTCCAGCTTGGGTGACAGAGCAAGATTCCTTCTCAAAAAAAAAAAAAAAAAAGACGATGTGAGCACAGTGGTTTGTGCCTGTGATCCCAGCACTTGGGAGACTGAGGTGGGAGGACCACTTGAGCCCAAGAGTTCAAGACCAGCCAGGACAACATAGTGAGACCCTATCTCTACAAAAAATAAATTTAAAAAAAATTAGCTGGACACAGTGTCACGAAGCTGTAGTCCCAGCTACCCAGGAGGCTGAGATGAGAGGATTGCTTGAACACAGGAGATCAAGGATGCAGTGAGCCATGATTGTGCCACTACACTTTAGCCTGAGAAACAGTAAGATTATCTTGTCTAAAAAAAATTTTTTTTTAATTAAAGAAAATAAGACGATAATTTAGAACTTCTAAAATCTTATATTAGACTTTCGCTGAATGATTTTGCCTTCTTAAGTTTATTTTCATGAGATCAACTCTTTTGGCCTGTTATTTGGTTTGGTCAGAAAAACTCTTTGTAAGTGTGTATGTCCTGGCCCACACATTAGAATGATGAGATATGAAGTCATTCATATCACATTACAACTAATTTTAGACCTTCTTTGTCTGCTGTCATCTCTTTGGATTTTCTAATTAAATTTCTTTCACTTTTTGCTCTCATGCTTAACTTTTGAATTTAGCTTAACACACAGCTGAGGCTATTATAAAATAAAATATGGATTATTTAGAGGGGTCTTCCTTAGAAAGCCTGTATATGAATATGTCATTTGCTAATAGCTAGAAAGGACAAGGAAAATTATGTTTGACACCTGTGGGTGATCATCCAAAATCAATTTTATCATCACACCCAAAAAAATGCTTTGGCATGAGGAATAAATTTATTGGCACTATGTTAAAGGGAAATACTTTATATTAAGTACATTCTGCAAGTGCAATCCAGCTACTATAGAAGTAAAAGAGTTTTCTGTCCACTGCTTTGGAGGAGATAAAGCCGTATAAAACCTCATTCATATCTGAAATCAACTTTTAATCTCATAAAGGAACTGTGTACAAAATTAACTATGATGGAAGGCATTTATGCTGAGGACTATTACAGAAACAGATCCCTTTCAGTTGGGAGCCTCAAGGAGGATTGATAAAAAGAAGCCTAGTGGTCACGCAGCAAGGAGCCACTTTTCAGGTTCCTCCTAATAACTGCCCAAAATTTAACATTTGGTACCTTCACCAGCAAACGCTATCATGTAGGTTAAGTGTATTTGCTTTTAGTTTGGTAAATTTTCTCTAAGATAAGTTTTCTATGGCGAGTTTAATACTTCTGTATGCTACTTATTCTCTCCGCATTTTGAACACACTGCATTATTCACTTCTGTAAATCTTGGACAGCAAAGCACAATGGAGTGATGGGGCAAATAATCAGTAACACATTGGTACAAACAGAAAAATGCAAAAATTTTTCTCACCAAAGATTTGACTTATTTAAATATCAATATTTAAAATATCAAATGTTTGAACTCATCGATAAGAGCAAAAAATATTGATGTTATATGTTTTCTTTACCAAGCACTGACCTAATTGCTTTTACAATCTGGTGGTGGTGTTTTTTGTTTTGTTTTAAACTCAATTTCATCCCCATTCAAATGTCCAAAACAAAATCCAAATCTAGTTGACACCTAAACAATAGAATGTTACATTAGTTTGTGACCCAAAGTGAAATTAAGCCCCACATGCACACAAACTGGTCTGGCTGGCCGGTTTTACAGTCGACTGCCGCCTTCACTTCAGATTATGTAAACACATATTGTGAAATAGCTCTGATGGGAACCTTATAACCTAAACATTATTCTCTGAAATGTAATTTGTTGTCTTTTATATAAAAGAAGAAATTAAATCAAAGATAATTTGAAGGAAAACAACTCTGGGATTTTGTTTAATTGAGTTTTGCTGGGAAATGTTATTGCCTGGTAGCACTGGCCCCAGGTCAGGAAGAAGCTGGGTTCCATCTTTCGCAGGGTCAAACTTCTCAAGTGACTTTGCGCCTGAACCTCACAGCAGGCCCTAAGGAGTGCCCCCAAGTGTTCTGGTCCTAGAGAAAGACATGCATTATATCATGTTAATTGAAACCTAAAATGACTATCTCTTCAGGACAATATACTGTTGTGACCTAAGAATATTGCCCATTAATGTTAAGATAGAGATAGAAGAGCTTGATGTCCTAATCCTCCAGAGTCACTTAAGCTAATAGGGAGCTCTAATTTTCTGCCTTTTCTAAACAATACTACTTTTTCCCCAGTGTTATTTTTCTTTATTTTCCAGCTCTTCTGCAAAAATAAAATAAAGCTATGTCTTTTTCAACTTCTCCATTCTTTTTTTTTTTTTTCTTTGAAACAGAGTCTCGCTCTGTCACCCAAGCTGGAGTGCAGTGGTGCGATCTCGGCTCACTGAAACTTCCACCTCCCAGATTCAAGCAATTCTCCTGCCTCAGCCTCCCAAGTAGCTGGGATTATAGGCACCAGCCACCACGCCCAGCTAATTTTTGTGTTTTCAGTAGAGATGG